ATCACATCTCAGGCTTTGGTAAGATAGAATGAGGACATTTAGATCCAGTGCTTGGCACTGCGTTGGGTGTCCGGTGCTCTAAGACACTCACTACGATGAGTGGCTGAAAACACTGACAACAGCCAATGCTGAACTTTTCTGGAAATGCAGTAAAGGCAAATCAGATTTGCTGGAATGTGTTTTTAAATACAGCAAATGTATCAACAACAATGCTGCACTCCAAATGCTTATGTGACAATATGGGCTGGGTAAGGGACACTGACAATGTAACAGATGAGACTTCCCCCTAGTGGAAAAACACAGGAAAGACTAACTCACATCCCACAGGACCACACTAGACAGAATCTGGTATCATTCCCTGATACACGTGAACCTATTTCTGCTGAATCTGTGCTTGGCCCCAGGGTTCACAGATACCGTGTATTTCTGTGCAATCACCTGAAGTTACACTTTGTGTTGACAAACTGCTGCTTAATATTCAGTTAGGCTTTCCCACGGAATTCTTATTTACTATTTTTTAGGTATTTTTCTCCTTAAAACTATGTTCAACATATAGTAAATGATATTTATCTACAATACATACAAATGTATTTGAATCGGGACCAGTAAGATGGCTCAGTGGGTCAAGGCATTGGCTGCTAAGGCTGATGACCTGAGTTCTACATGTGTGTCATAGCACACAAGTGCACACACATGCAAGAAAAACCCAAATGTGTTTGCATCACTTGCATCTATTTTACAAACGTAAAATACCTCTGTGGTGATGCACTGAACTCGGGAAGTGAGGACACACATGCTCCTCGCTCCTCTGTGGTGATGCACTGAACTCATGCTTGGCTCACCTTGGCTTTGGGTGACACAACATCACTCTGAGAATATGGACACCAGCTCTGGAATGACCCCTAACTAAGGTGGTTACACCAGATGGTTCTGAGCCATGAAGAGATGAACTAGCTGTTTTCCAGAGGCTTTTAGATTTAGAAGATGCCACAGCACGGGTTTCTGGGCCCTGGCATCTCACCTTCCAGCAGCATCCACAAGGCCTCACCACATTACACCTCTGACTCATTGTCCCGACCTACCAGTGGGATCGCGACATCCTCGTATGGCAGCTTGTCTTCCCGCCAAGCGTCATCAATCAAATCCAAGATCCTTCCATCTCGCTGCACCTCACTGTCCATTTTCCTGCAGCTTTGGTCTCGTCAGTTCTGTAAGCCAAAGAGGTCATAATGAGGGTACAGTACAATCCAGGACCAGGATTCCCCACATTTTAAAGCTTGAAATTGGTTTTGTTGTGGTTTGTTTTGTTTCTTAATACCATCCCAGGAACGGCCCATCTTATATGGGTCATGTGACAACATTAAAGACCACAGCTCTTTCCTCACTTCACTGACAGATTCTTGATTGTGTATAGAGACGGTCTAGTTGACAGACAAGTTCCTAGCGTAACAGAGAGCAACACATTTCTGAAAACAGTCCTGAAAGGCACTGCAGCTAAATGTAGCCTTCTTTACAATCATACAATCTTTCCCTGTTTGTTATGTCTTTGTTGAGTCTCATCTCTTGCTCCTTAAGCCCTCCCCCATTATTTGGCACAAATCTCCACCTGCCTTGGCTCAAACCTTGGCATTCTTGAGACATGGAAGCTATGGGAACATGCAGGGTGACACCGAGCGGGAACGCGCGAAGTGACCAGCCATAGACCAACTGCTAACCCTTAATGCAGGAACAATATGGGCGTGCCAAGGAAACACTTCCTTTCTTAAACAGCGTCCAGACTGAGCTCTGAAAGTAGTATGCCATGATCAACAGTGGCAGCTCCAGGTTGTGTGTCCCTCTGGGCTTCCACTTCATACAGGGTTTCTCTGTAGCCCTAACTGTCCTGGAACTCACTCTGTAGATCAGGCTGGCCTCGAACTCACAGAAATCCACCTGCCTCTCCCTCCTGAGTCCTGGGATTAAATGTGTGCACCACCACCCAACGGGCCCTCCTCCTCTTTTTTTGAGACGGAGTTTCAAACTCTCTCCATAGCCAAAATCAGCCTAAGCTCCTAATTCCCCCGCCTCTACCAATGGGATGATAGGCATGTGCCACCGAGGTACTGGGAATTGAACCCAGGGTTCTGTATATACTAGGTAAGGCCCGTACCAAATGACCTACATCCTCAGCTGAGGGGGGTCCTGCAGGTGTCCAGGCAGGGAAGTAAACTGTGAGGAAGCGAGAATGAAAACAGGGTTCAGATTGACTTTGTCAACTTGGATCACACTTGGGGAGTCTGATGTCAGGTGGTTTATTCCAAACACATTTAAACACAGTATAATTTGGAAAAAGTTACCTGGTGCAATACAATCCCCAGTGCACAAGGAAGCATAATCACAACAAAACTTGACTCAGGGTACATGCCATTTCTTCCAAGAAGATGGGTTCTAGAGATAGGCACCTGTACTTGCTTAAGGGCCTAAGGAAGGGTCTGGTCAGGTCTCGGTCTCAGTCAAACAGATAGCACAGAGGCCGTTTGGACTATTAGCCACCTCTGGTCTTGGCTGTGGGCGTTTGGGGGAGTCTCTGGTTATACAGTATTGTAAGGGTTATTTAGACTATTTCTCCAGTCCTGGTTGTGTGAGCTTGATATGGCTTGGCCCAACAGATTATCACAAATCACCAGGCTATTAGTCACTTCCAATTCCCAGCTTTCTGGATGGAAGAACAGGTTTTCCATTTTTTTCCCCCACTGGAAAGACAATCCTGTATGCTGAACGTTTCCTAGTCTCCCTGGAGATCTGTGGGTTCGAGGACCTTCATGTTGTGCTCCCAACACCCAACCCTCTTCCTCTGGAAAAAAAAATTACATTTCTTTGTGTATGTACATGTGGAAGTAAAAGGACATCTTGGGGTTAATGGTTCTCTTCCTCCACCAGGTGGGTCCCAGAGGTAGAACTCAGCTGCCAGGCTTTGCTGGCCTTTATGCCACTGAGTCACATGGCGGGCCCTCCTCAGGGCCTGGACCCAGTGCTCCCTGACTATAGGCCACTCCTATTTTTTTCTCCTGAAACAGTGGCAACCTAATTCACAAGACTGGTCATCATGGAGTACTTCTGGGTTTCCAGCTTCCAAGTTTGTTCCTTTCCACAAAAACGCCCCACTGTACTCCCTGCTACAAAGTGGCAACTCAGAGAAGGCCAGAAACTTCCACCACCAGTGTAAGAAACAATGTAAGAAACAACCTTTGGCATTGCACTTTAACTCTGCCATCCAAGTACGCACTTGGCTACAACAGTATTTGAGGCAAGTGAGCGCTATCTGGTTTGGGGGTGGGAAATGGTTTTTTACTTTCAAAACTGACACAGAAGGGGCCTGGGAGACAATTCAGTGGGTGAAGTGCTTGCTCTGCAAGAACACCCAAATTCAGATCGTTGGCACCCACATAAAAAGCCTGGCACAATAGCACACGCTTGACATCCCAGAGCTGGGAGGCAGAGACAGGAGGATCTCTGGGAGATGGCCAGGCCAGGCAGTCTAGCTGAATCAGAAAGCTCCAGATTTAGTGAAAGATTCAAGGTGGAAGTGACGGAGGATGACACTGCTGTTGACCTCTGGCCTCTACACTCACCCCCCCACTCCACCACCATCAGCTCCACCTGCCACCTAGGAACCAGCTGACGGCTTAGCGTTTATACTTAGATTTCACTGCATCTAGCCAGTGCTAACTGAAGCTAGCTGAAGGATTCCCACCTGCAGTAGTGTATAACTAATCCTTCCTGTCAGTTCTAGTTACACGTCCAGAATTCCCCAAGTTTTCCTACTTTCCTATCACTCCTTTGTTCTTGGGGCTGTGCCGTGGGCTACACTTCACACTTGCTCTGTTGATCTGACCAGGTCTATATAGATTGCACCCTTTTCTTAAGCGGTCTGACTCCTCTAGCTTTAGGAGGCTTTCTGTCCTCGAAGGCTTGCTGCTGTCCTTAACTAATCTATGAAACAAATCAGGTCAGCTTTGAACTGATGGGTAGGACACTTCTGTTTCAGTGGTAACGTGTAAACGCTGTACCAATGACTCCCAATCTTTCTATAGATTGGCCTCAATATTTTGTAACATGTCCCTCTTCTACACGCTCGCAATCTGGCATGCTTTTCATCCACCTCCTGCACTTCTTCATCAGTAATGCTTGGCCGTCCTTCCAAGACAACACGATGACTGATCTTTGGGTGATGCAGTCGGGTACTCCCCTTTTACACGAACAAAGAAGCAAGCACAGACAATGCCCAGGCAACCGCCACTGCGCTGAACTCTTACCACACATCCTAACTTCTCCGCGTTTCTTAAACATATTTTTACATATTGTACCCTTCTCTTTCTAGCGCCCATCCCCACACCCGATAATACAAAACTCTCATCTCTGAGGTTGTCTCCTTTAGACTCAGGCTGAACGCAAGTTCTAAGAGCCCATCTCTTCACCAGTCCCCTAGATCTCTGGGCACAAAACGTGATAACTGGGGAGCTTGTCACAACTGTCAACACATCTCTTTTCAGATATTAGATGCGTAATATACATTTTCAAAATCTACAGCTTTGTAGATGTATTTCTAAGCTAAAAGCACGGCGCAGGCACTAAAACTGGCCCTCGCAGGCCACCATCCTGGATCACTGGACGCAAAGCCGCCCACCGCCGCCGCTTCCGGCCCGAAGGCTGGAGATACCATATGCGGAAGTGCATAGGGGAGGTGGAGCGTCGCCATGCCGGGTCCCTTCCACTCCGCGCGGCGTGCAATAAGGAAGTGGCTCTGAAGGTCGGTCGGGAGCACCTGCCTGCGTGTCTGGAAGCACTGGACGCCCGAAGCCTAGGGCACACGCTTGGTCACCCTCCAAAACCCCGGCCGCTGGCGCGAAAAGCACCCTTACCCGCAGCGCGCGAAACGGCTCTCTCCCGGCCCCGCCCCTCCGCCTGGTCACGTGACGCGCGGCGCGCTCGTACCCCGTACGCGGGTGAGTCCATTCGCTGCCGTGGGGAGGGGGCGGGACGAGCGTCCATTTGTTGTGACACGAGCGCGCCCCCGAGGAACGGCGCGCCGGCCCGGCGGGGGCGCGCTCTGTAACTGCCTGCGTGCCCCACAGCCGGGCAAGCCGCGGCTGGTTGTGGTGCGGACGCGGCCCTGGCCACCGTGGTGCCGCTAACCTCCAGGCCGCATGGCCCGCGGCCGCTGCCCGTCGCCGGCCGCCGCCTGCAGCCAGGCCCGCTGCCGTCCACCCGCGGCCGCCCGGGCGCAGGACCCCCGGGTTGCTCCGACTCCTCCATGTGCAGCTCCGTGCTGGCCGGCCAGGTGCTGCGGCCTCTGCGGGCGGTTGTCGCCGCAGGCGTAGGACCAGCCCCCCCGGGGGAGGCAGTAGTGAAGGAGTGTGTGTGTGTGCGTGCGCGCGCGTGTGTGTGTGTGTTGGGGGGGGGCGGACTGGTAGCAGCGCAGCGGGAAGCCCGCAGGGTTCCCTGGTAATGTTAGTAGTAGGAGAGGTGGGGAAGTATGGCGGGACCCCTGATGCAGGGGAATTGCAGATGGCCTCCTGCCTTCAAGTCAAGCATCGGAAACAATATTGGGAGAGTGAAATGAAAGCTTTGAAAGGGCAGTTCCATAAGGCTGTAATCACGGCGACACTTGACAGTAGTCTGGATTACAAATAGGGCTTTTGTCCTTTACAAAACCGTGGAGTCAGAGCGTTGTCTGCAGTGTGGACTGTATACTTATTGTCCAAAGTACACCTTCACCTCCAGCGCCTGCTCTCCCTCTAAGACAGGGTTTTATTATGAAGCCTGAACTGTACACATCTTTAATCCCAGCACTCAGTTGCAGAGGCAGGTAGGTCTCTGTGAGTTCGAGGCCAACCTTATCTATAAAGCGAGTTCCAGGACAGCCAGAGCTGTTACACGTTACACAGAGAAACCCTGTCTCGGAAAAACAGCAACAACAAAAAATCTGGCTGGCTAGGAACTCAATTCGTATAAGGCAGGCTGGCCTCTGCCTCCTGGGTTAAGGATCTGCATCACCTCGCTTGACTTTCTAAGTTCTCTTGAGGCCAGTTTAGATTTTTTTTTTAATATTTATTTATTTATTTATTATGTATACAATATTCTGTCTGTGTGTATGCCCGAAGGCCAGAAGAGGGCGCCAGCAGAAGAGGGCGCCAGACCTCTTTACAGATGATTGTGAGCCACCATGTGGTTGCTGGGAATTGAACTCAGGACCTTTGGAAGAGCAGGCAATGCTCTTAACCACTGAGCCATCTCTCCAGCCCCAGTTTAGATTTTTAAAATTTATTTAGTAAAACAGGGTAGGTGCTCAATTTCTCAAATACCTCCATTTAGTTTTAATTTTGTATTTATATTTTGTATGTAAGTCAAGGGTCAATGAATATAAATTATCTTTAGCTATTTATACTTGCTCTTTTTTTTTTTAACTTCGTTTTTTTGAGACAAAGTTTTTCTGTATAATAGCCCTAGCTGTCCTGGAACCTGCTTTGTAGACCAGAACCTTGAACTCACAGAGATCCGCTGTTGCTGCTTCCCAGTGCTTGGGATTAAAGGCGTGCGCTAACACGTCCGGCTACACTTACTCTTAAAGTCTGTAGCTTAATGTATGCTAAAACAAAATTTCTTATATAGAATGTAAAACCATCTTTAGGTTAATTTTTGTCCCATGTACCTTGTCTTTTAGTGAAGGAGACTGTGAAACTAAAATGGGTCAGAGATTTACAAACTCAGACACACAGTCATTTAAGATGTGCGTACACTGAAGTTTTAACAACAGTACAGATATTGTTAATTATGCCAATGCTGCTTCCTCCAGTGGAGCTGTAGAGGACTGTTACTGTTACTTAGCCTTTCTGCCCTCAAGTACTGTGTAGGAAGGAGCTGACGGTGACAGCATTTATCCACATTGTCATAGCAAAGATGCTCCCCACCCCCTGGCTGTCATAGCGAAGGTGCTTCCCATGCCAAGGGCTAGATTTACTTTTACAAAACCACAGTACTACTTTTATATCAGTACAAATTTGTGCAAAATACACAACGTCAGTGTCAGAGGGATCAGGTTTCTCCTGCTACTCCATATGTGCTTGCAATACCTTGTTTGGACCAAAATTCTGCAGAGAACTGTCTGCTGTACCTGGTTGCTAGGTGTTTATCTCCTCTAACCAACAACAGTTTCTTATCTCCCTTTTCTCTTTATTTAAAATTTAGCTGTTTGTATGTATATTTGAATGTGCCTCTCCTTCCTCTGTAACCTCTCCTCCACTCACTGTCTTGAATTACACTGTCCAGTCATCATGTGGTAGTCATCAGATAGCCATGCTGTTTTAAATGAAATAAAAGTGGTTCCCCAGTTGCATTAGCTGCATTAGTCCAGCAGTCATAGGTTGCCTAATGGCTACTGTTTGAGTAATACAGATATAAGTGTTTCCATAATTACAGAAAATTCTGTTGAAATACAGTGGTCAAAATGTTAGATTCAGCCTTGTTGTTTTGGATGAGAGATACAAGAAAAATGCCATAGGTATAGGTTTTATATTAGGAAAATTATCTGTTGCATTCATTACCAGGGCGACATGTAATATCTGAGTCCTCCCATTTGGGATGTTATGGTCGAGCTGTGCCCTGGTTCCTGTGCTGTCAGCTCAGTTGACCCACCATGAAGTTGCTCAAGAGTCTTCCAATGAATAGGGAGATCTTTTTTTTTTCCCTCTCTTTTGAAATTTATTTTTTTTTTATTTTTTAAAATATTTATTTATTAGCCGGGCGGTGGTGGCGCATGCCTTTAATCCCAGCACTTGGGAGGCAGAGGCAGGCGGATCTCTGTGAGTTCGAGACCAGCCTGGTCTACAGAGCTAGTTCCAGGACAGGCTCCAAAGCCACAGAGAAACCCTGTCTCGAAAAACCAAAAAAAAAAAAAAAAAAATTTATTTATTTATTATGTGTACAATATTCTGAGTGTATGCCTGCAGGCCAGAAGAGGGCACCAGATCTCATTACAGATGGTTGTGAGCCACCATGTGGTTGCTGGGAATTGAACTCAGGACCTTTGGAAGAGCAGGCAGTGCTCTTAACCACTGAGCTATCTCCAGCTCCGCATACAAATTTTCTATTTATTTATTTATTAAAGATTTCTGTCTCTTCCCCGCCACTGCCTCCCATTTCCCTCCCCCTCCCCCAATCAAGTCTCCCTCCTATTGGTGATCCTAGAGAAGCTAAAAAAGAAGGAGAACCCAAAGAAAAACATATAGGCATCCTCCTGAATATTAACCTTCATCAGGCAATGAAAGGAGACAGAGACCCACATTGGAGCACCGGACAGAAATCTCAAGGTCCTGAGGTCCAAATCAGGAGCAGAAGGAGAGAGAGCACGAGCAAGGAACTCAGGACCGCGAGGGGTGCACCCACACACTGAGACAATGGGGATGTTCTATTGGGAACTCACCAAGGCCAGCTGGCCTGGGTCTGAAAAAGCCTGGGATAAAACCAGACTTGCTGAACATAGCGGACAATGAGGACTACTGAGAACTCAAGAACAATGGCAGTGGCTTTTTGATCCTACTGCACGTACTGGCTTTGTGGGAGCCTAGGCAGTTTGGATGCTCACCTTACTAGACCTGGATGGAGGTGGGTGGTCCTTGGACTTCACATAGGGAAGGGAACCCTGATAGGGAGATCTTTGATGGCTAGCTGTGCCTGGGTCTGTTACTGCACGACAGCCACAGAGTGGTGCTTTCTGGTTGTGTCATTTCTTAGTGCTTGCTTACCTGGCGCTCTGCTGAAGAACCTGCCTTCCACAACTATCTGACTACCCTGAAATATAACTGGGATAGGAACGGCAAGAGAAATGCTTAACTCTGTTCCTTTCTTTTCAGACTACATCAATGAATTGGTGGCCTAGCAACCTTCAAAGGTAACCTGAAGGCTTTACCTTTAAAACTAACAGATAGGCTTTGATATGTTTAAATCTGTGCCTTGCAATCTCCTGAGGCAACCTGAGGGCTTTACCTTTAAAAACAAACCAATAGACTTTAATGTGTTTAAATTGTTTGAACGTATTGCCAATTTTTTGATACCCCAAATTATTTTGTTTTTGGCCAGTGGCAACCCTTCAAGACCCATAGTTTTGATAACTTCCTCCTTCTAGTTTTGCTTTACCTGGGTTTTATGTAGTCCAGGCTGACCTTGAACTTGCTCTGTAGCCAAGCATGATCTTGAATTTATGGTCTTCCTGCCTCCACTTCCCAAGTGCTAGGATTACAGGTGTGAGCCATCATGTCCAGCTCAGTACTGCTTCTTTTCCTTTTTATGTGTTAGTTATAAAACACCATCATAGTCCCTATAAAACAACGTAAATCCAGGCTTACCTGTAGCAGGTTAGCTTTAGCCCCATCTCCACCGTGATTATTTCTCTCCTTACAGGTACAGTGTTTCACAGTTTGTTCTCAGTAAATAAGTACCCAACGGCAAACACACTTGTTGTTTTTACTCTTTACTCTTTTGGGGCCTGCCACCCAACTCCCTAATAAACACACATAGGCTTATTATTACTTATGAATGCCTGACCTTAACTTGTTTGTTTGTTTGTTTGTTTCTTTCTTTCACAATTATTTATTTATTATGTATACAGTATTCTGTCTGTGTGTATGCCTGCAGGCCAGAAGAGGGCACCAGACCTCATTGCAGATGGTTGTGAGCCACCATGTGGTGCTGGGAATTGAACTTAGGACCTTTGGAAGAGCAGGCAATGCTCTTAACCGCTGAGCCCCAACTTGGATTATTTCTAGCCAGCTTTTCTTAACTTAAACTATCCTGTCTTCCTTTAACCACTGGACTTTTTCCTTTTCTTCTGTAATCTAACTTCCATTCTTTCTCCATGGCTGGCTGTGTGGCTGGCTATCAGGCCCCTAGCATCCTCCTCTCCTTTTTCTCTTGCTCCTCCTCCTTGCTTTTTTTGTCTCATATTTATTCTGCCTGCAAGCCCTGCCTATCCTTTCTCCTGCCTCGCTATTGGCTATTCAGCTCTTTATGAGACCAATCAGGGATTTTAGACAGGCAAAGTAACACAGCTTCACAGAGTTAAACAAATGCAACATAAAAGAATGTAACTTAAGCCAGGCGGTGGTGATTTACGCCTTTAATCCCAGCACTTGGGAGGCAGAGGCAGGCAGATCTATGTGAGTTGGAGGACAGTCTGTTCTACTGAGTGCATGCCAGGACAGGCTTCAGAGCTACACAGAGAAACCCTGTCTTCAAAAAACAAAACAAAAAAAGAATGCAACACATTTTGCATCATTAAAATATTCCACAGCATAAACATAACACATCTTAAAATAATATTCTACATTACACATTTCTTTTACTGTTCAGTGTCTTACTCTTTTTACCTTGTAACAGATCCTCCACAGAAGAAGTATTATGATTGTTACCTCTTTTTATAGCTTCTTAGTATTCCCTCAGTGAATGAATATTAAGTGAGTTCCTACTTTACGAATAATGCTGCTGGGAATGCCCTTTATACATCTCAGTTGATATTTTTCCAGTGAGCAGGATTGAGTATATGGCAGGTCTTGCCTTCTTTCTCATTCTCTCTGCCTTGCTAAAAACCCTTAGATTACATTCCTAAAGACAGCAAATTCCATTCCCTTATTGGTCACTTCTGAGACTGACTACCAAGATCCAGCTATCAGTATTGAAGTCCAGCAATCAAAAGCCCCCTGTGGCTCACCTATTTAATATGCCCAATTTAAAGAAAGCACCTCATCTTAACACAGGGATTTTCCCTTTTATTTTATAGACCACCGTTTGCCTTTGCGCCACCATCTGCCTCCTTTCTATCCAGAGGCAGTCCTTTGTCCTCTGGGATAAATACCCATCCCTGCCCCTCTCCCTTGATCCTTCCCCTTCTCCCTCATCCTTTGTCTCCTGTTCTTGCCTCTTATTCCCTACCCTCTGTTCCTCTCCCTCTGGGGCAAACAAATCTCACTTGTGCTGAGAACTTGGTCTCCTTGGGTCCTGAGTTGACATTTTTCCCTTCAGGCTTCAGCCCAAAGGCTGTTGAGAATACTGAGTTCTGCCTGTTGGCTGGCTGCGGAGGCCGCGTTAGCATTCGGTGTCGGTGGTAAGGAGTGGCAGATCATCAAACAATTTTTACTTAAATCTGTATTGATTAGGGACACAGAATACTCTGCTACACAGTCTTGTGTCACATGGCTCCATCAAAGAGGAACAAGTGACTTGTCTGAGGTGAACAAAGGCCGTGTTGGTTAGGGACAGAATCAGTGTTGTGGCTGTGAGAAACGCAAGACAACCAAATCCGCAGGAAGTCCAAGTCCTCGCAGTTTATCTGATCCTGGAGAATGGAGACTGGTGCAGAGGGTGTTGCCAAAGAAGCACATCTCACATTGGCAGGCGTTTTTCCAGGGCGTTGCCGGTCCTCTGTGCCTGTTTTAAACAAGAATGCCTTTGTCTCAGGATTTCATTTTGAGCGGGTGGCTCTCCTGATCCCTTAATAGCTTTACCACAGTGCTGCTGCCGCCTAGTGGCCACAAGGCCATATACTTCAATTTTAGTCTGTTTCCCACCGAGATCTTGTTAAGCATAAGAAGGCAGAGTGAAATAAAAGGTGGCACATGGCTGGGACCGGAGGGTCACACTGCTTGGGTTTGAGCTTCAATATAACTTGTAGCTTTCTGTAGTGAAGTCATCGTGCCCTCTAAGCCTGTTTCCTCAAAGTGATAGCACCTGTGTATATGTACACACATAGACGTACATACATTATATTATACATATGTATGTGTGTGTGTGTGTGTGTGTATATATATATATATATATAACATGCATTATACACACATACTTTTATGTGCATTGGTGTTTTGTCATAGATGTCAGGTCCCCTGGAACTGGAGTATAGACAGTTGTGAGCTGCCCTGTGGGTGCTGGGAATTGAACCTGGGTCCTCTGGAAGTGCTCTTAATCACTGAACCATATTTTATGTCTTTTATGGGTGTACAGAAGATAGAAAGTGTAAGAGGCAGGCAGATAAGATAAACAGTCACTAAAGTTTAACATCTTTTATACACATTGTTATTAAATACTGTCATACACAAATGCCAACAAATTATGTATTATTGAGTAGATCACTAAGAATAACATGACCTAAAGAGGTATAATTTTAGTAGGAGTAATTTTGAGGAATAACTTTAAAGATGAGATAAAGACTTTGGCAGTTGCTGTTCATACCGTCACACCAACAACTGAAGCCCGACAACTCATAGCTGGTGTGTGGCAGAGCAGAACTGCTTTATGGGCCTCTACTTAGTGTTGAGTGGACTCTTCTGCCTCCCAGTTTAGTGTTGAGTGGGCTCTTCTGCCTCCCAGTTTAGTGTTGAGTGGGCTCTTCTGCCTCCCAGTTTAGTGTTGAGTGGACTCTTCTGCCTCCCAGTTCTGAAGCAGAGCAAAGGCGGGCCTGGGTGTAATTTGTAATTTGACTGGTTTGGAAGAAAGTGGAGTCCTCTCCTTTAGGGTTTATTTTGGGTCATGGTGAAATCTATCAGAACACTATCTGGATGGAGGAAAGAGCCCACACCATGCAGGAAGAGTGTACAGTATAGAAACAGGTGCAGATCCAGCACACTTGTGCTTTTTCCCCTTCTCATCTTCGTCTGTCTCTGGAGTCTTGTGTGTCCTCCATCCCTACATTCATTGCCTGGGATGGTGAACATTTCTGTTTCTTTTTCAGTCCCATGCTGGGGTATTTCTTGGAAAGGAGCATGCCTTTTATTGCTATCTAGAGAGCAGTTTGTATAATACTGAATTTGTAGACTGAAGCAATCTACTTCTCAGAGAAATACAGTTTTTTGAAAAGCATTAGGATGGAGGGACCGAATCTCTACACCCTAACCTTTAGCTAATTCATGGTTGAGACTTTGAAAGCTTAAGGAAAGAAGCCAGTTAAATTTTATGTGTATGAGTGTTTTGCTTGCATGTTTATCTGTGCACCATACACGTGCCTGGTGATCCTCTGGAAATAAAGTTATGAATAGTTATGAGTTGCCATGTGGGTGCTGGGGACAGTACGCGAGCCGGGAACTAGCTGGAGATTTAAAAATACACACACACACACAGAGACATAGGGACACGGTCATCCTTGAAACAAGAATGCCAACTTTATTGTGTTCCAGGGATCCTTAACTGATATCCACGCCCCCGCTCTTGGGATTTTCAGCTGTAAAACCCATCAGAATCCACTCTCCTGCCACCAGGAACTCATGAGGGTCTTGTGCTCAGAGCAGCTGCAAGCACAGGAAAATAAGTTGTTTCACTCCGTCAGCAAAGGGTCTGAAGCAGGCAAAGAAAGTCAAGGGGCCAGGAGTCTGCAGCCCCCAACAGGGAATCAAACCTGGGTCCTCTGCAATAACAAGTGTTCTTAACCATTAAGCTTTCTTTCTGCCAATAGGGCACTTTTTAAGGCATGAAAGGTGGTTGGCCAAGGAATGTTTTGAGGATTTATGAAGAGAAACTTAACACACAACTCACGATACTTCTGAATTTAAGGGTCTTTTTCTTTTGTATGACTTTCTCTTTTCTATCTCCCCTCTTTGTCCTTCAATTGTAGCAGTTTGCATAACGAGGAAGGGGAGATGGGGTCACCAAAGGCATGCAATGGTGCTATGTTGGGACACAGCTCAGCTCTCCACTGCAGAAATGAGTCTCGTTGGTTTTCTGTCCTTGAGAGACCGGTGGTCTAGAAAAAAGGAGGAACATGCAAATTCTGTGTAATTTGGGGTGAATAGTGGGGGAGTGTGTCAAAGACAAGGCACCATGCAGTGCTGTTGACTTTGTCCTTAGGTTTTAGGGGACAGAGTATGATGCAGGAAGTTTTCTCTTAGAGTCAGTAGGGTCTGTTGCTGACCTGGGAGCTTAATTTTTTTGGGGGGAGGGGCGTTGAGATAGGGTTTCTCGGTATAACAGCCCTGACTATCCTGGAACTAGCTCTTGTAGACCATGCTGGCCTCAAACTCACAGACTTCCTTATTTTGTTTTATAAGTATGGGTGTTTTGCCTGCATGTATGTTTATCACGTGCATACCTGGTGCCTGCAGAGGCCAGAAGAGGGTGTTGGGACTCCTGGAACTGGAGCTACAATTGTGAATAGCCATGTAGGTTCTGAGAACTGAGCCCAGGTCTTCCTCAAGAGCAGGAGTGACTTACTGAGCCCTCTCTCCAACCCATGACCAGGGAGTTTACCCTCTGTATAATGGAGGGAGTTTAGCTTCTGTATAATGGCTCTAGTTTTAAGAATCAAGAAACCTATGATTGAAAAGCAAACAAAACCCCTGTGTTATGTGAGTGAAAAACTATTTTTCCTCTCATTTTGTGAAGAGGATTGTAAAAGTCCCTTGAGAGAAAATGCTTTCTGCCCTTACGTTCTTTAAGGATTAGGCCTAGAGGGGCTGGAGGGATGGCTCAGCAGTTAAGAGCATGTACTTACTGTTCTTGAGGATGACCAGAGTTTGTTCCCAGCTCCCAGATCTGGTGGCTCCGATGCCTCTGGCCTCTGTGGTACCTGAACATATCTGTACACACCCATGCGGAAGCACACAGTTAAATAAATAAATAAATAAAATCAATCTGACAACAAAAACAGCAAGCCAAGCAGCCAAGCGTGGTGTTACTACTCAGGAGGCAGAGGCAGGTGGGCTTCTCTGAGTTCAAGGCCAGTATGTTCTACATAACAAAACTGATACCAGGCCAGCCAGGGATGCGTAGTGAGACCCTGTCTCAAAAATTAAGTTAAATTCAACAATGAATGAAAAGGCCTAGAATAATTAGGTGTTTCATTGATTTGCAGGATAATGTCAGAAGCAATTAGGATTTTTTTTTTTTCTTTTAGAATGTATTTGGTGCTAAGCATTTTTTTTTCCTTCGAGACAGGGTTTCTCTGTAGCTTTGGTGCCTGTCTGGAACTAGCTCTTGTAGACCAGGCTGGTCTCGAACTCACAGAGATCCACCTGCCTCTGCCTCCCAAGTGCTGGGATTAAAGGCGTGCACCAGCACCACCCGGCTGTGCTAGCATTTCTTGAGTGAGATTCCTTGCTTCTACAGTCATCTTACCCTGCTCTGTTTCGTACTGTGACTGCTTTCATTCACTTTAGATCAAATGTTGGGATTCAGAATAGTGACTTTTTTCTCACTCTCTTCACCTTTCATTCACATTAGGTCGAATGTTGGGATTGAGAACAGTGACTTTTCTCACTCTCTTCACCTTTCCTTTTCTTTTTTCCCCAGTTGCCAGAACAAAGGGGATTTAGCGATGGAGGCCTTGTTGGAAGGAATACAAAATCGAGGGCATAGCGGGTAAGTTTGCCTTTGACTGGGAGCTTCTTGGTGCAATTTAAAAGCTTATCTGGTTCTGTTAAGCAGATGCTAAGTTGAGCCACTGTACATTTGTGGATGGCATCCCTCCCTACACCTCAGCCTAACAGTACCAGGTGCGTGGACTCTTGCTTCTGTCCTATGGTTCAGAGGGCATCGGTGGGTGGAGAGCAGTGAGGTAGGCAGGCCGCAGTGTGTTCCTAGTGACAGTTGGAAGAAATAATTGCAATAGATGTTGCTCAAGGATGAATTTTTTGAAACAGCTTTTTGTTTGTTGGCTGGTTTTTTAAGTATCTTTTCCCTACACAGTAGCCCGTTTGCTGCCATGGCCATTCATTTGGGCTGAAAGAGACGCGACATAAGCTTGCCTGGATTCTCTCAAGAGCGTTCTAAAATATTCCAGCAATGTGGTTAGTAGTAGTGAAAATCTGACTTGGAAAGCCAGATGTAAAACATCCATCTGTGTTTTAAGTGGCTTTAGCTTTAGGTTACACACTGGAGGAGAGCAAAATGGTCTATAGAGTAAGCAGCCGACTGAGTGTAGGAGATGACAGCATAAGAGCAAGGGCACAGGCATCCTGGGCTGTGCGTCTGCGGTGTTTTACTCCTTCAGCTGGGCTTCGGCTGTGATAGTTTTATCTGTGAAAGATGAGAAATCACGTGGGCATAAGTGGTGTTGGTCTGTTGGTGTCTGTAGGGGATTTTTGACATCCTGTGAAGCAGAACTGCAGGAGCTCATGAAACAGATCGACATAATGGTGGCACATAAGAAATCTGAATGGGAGGGGCAGACGCACGCGCTGGAGACTTGTTTGGACATCCGCGATCGGGAGCTGAAGACGCTGAGAAGTCAGCTGGACATGAAGCACAAGGAGGTAGACCGGCTGCGCCACTCTTCTGGCTTCCACCTCTGGTTCTCAGTTATCCAGGGTTCTGCATGCCCATGTTCAGGCCCGAATATAACACAGTTGGAGCAACCCACACCCCAGTACTCTTGGTTCATTCTGTTGGTAGTTTGACATTTTGTACTGAACATGTTTTTTAAGTATTTGTTAAAAAAAAAGCATTTGTTTACCAAATTAGTTTCTTCTTTGCTTTTTCTTTTTTTGATGTTTTTCCAATATTTATGGTTTCTTTTAGTTGAAAATTTATTGTTAAAGTGTAATAATATTAATATTTACTTTAAGGACATTTTACTTTGCAGACATATAATACATTGTTTATGTAAGAAAGTGTCAGAGGAGCTGGGGCTATGACTGTCTTAGTGCTCACTGTGCAAGCCTAAGGGCCCATTGATAAAGATGAGCATGGGGCTGTGCCTCTGTAACCTTAGCACATGAAGAAAGTGGAAGACAGGGCCACGTAACCTTTGCATAACTTTTATCAAATTACATGTCTGTATTAATGTCACCAAGTTTAATAGGAGCTGGTTTTGCCTTGCAAATTTAGATAAAAAACAAAGTTAAGTACTGGGGATATGGTTTAACCATAGAGTGCTTACTTAGTATGCTTGAAGTCCTAGGTTCAGTTCCCAGCATTATCTCCCAACCCCCCAAAAATACAAAACAAAAACAAGAATTGAGTCCTTTCATTTAATAATTTGCCTGTTTTGTTAAGTTAACAAATCAGGGCTGGAGAAGAAGCTCAGTGGTGGAGTGTGCCTAGCATGTGCACAGTCCTGGCCAGGATCTCCCGCACTGTAAGCTAAGTTAAGGAAATCTATTTCAGAAGGACCTTTGTTTAAAACTAAGGGAGACCCACCAGGTGGTGGTGGCACACACATTTAATTCTAGTACTCGGAGGCAGAGGCAGACAGATCTCTGTGTTCAGAGCCACCCTGATCTACAAAGTGAGTTCGAGGCCAGCCGTGGCACATGGAGAAACCCTGTCTTGAAAAGCCAGACAAAAGTAAAAAACCTAAGGGAGAAGAAGGAAAATAAAATAAATTTGCAGTCCTATCACTCACTAATACTGATAGTGTTGGGGGAAGTTTAAGAATACTCCCTGATTATTTCTCCTAATTCAGCTGGTACACTAGAAGAACACTGAACACTGGAAGGGCAGCAGGAAGTATTGCAGGTGGAAGCATTGTCCCTAAGTTTCTATACAAGTTAGTCTGGGAATGAAGAGCTGCAGGTAGATGCTAACCCCAAACCTCATTATTATTTTGCCAGCTTTGCCTACATGGGATTTGCCCTCATCAAGGTCAATACAACTGACTGCTATGCCTAGTAGACTGCCAGGACTGGCAACACAACATTGTGATTTGGTTGATGATATTGTGTACATGTAGGAAATTTTCAAATAATTAAAACATTATCTCCTAGTGGTTGGCCTTTTGCACTTAGAGTCAAATAGCACTTTAGTAATAACAGCTGTATCAAATTTAGAATTTTGTAAATGGTTTATTTGCTAGTCTAGAGTTTATTCTAAAGTTTAGTTAGATCTTTTAAGAATACAATTTATGCAAAGATTGGGAAGGTGATGAAAAAGCACACCAAATGACAGTCACATTGGATTTAAAAAAAGTACCAACAACCTCCCTCCCCCAACAACTTAACTTGCTGGGTCAGTGGTTAAGAGGACCAGCTGTCTTTCAGAAGACCCGGATTCAATTCCTAGCACTCATAGGATAGCTAACAGCTGTCTGTAATTCCAGTCCCAGGAGATCTGACACCTTCTAGGCATGCATATGGTGTACAGATTCATAAAGGCAAAACACTTACACATATAAGAATAAACAAACAAGCAAACAAATCAATTTGAGTAGACCCATGCTGCTTTTCTGGGAACTACTGTGGTTTCTTCACTTCTCTTGGGGCAAGACAGAAACAGTTATGCTCAGTAACTGAAGTGACAGCAGTTTCCTGGTTCAGAAAACGACTGTATGTTTTGATGTCTAGGTTGTTTAGTTTGTTAAAATCCACAAAAGAAACTCACTTTTATAATTGTGAGACTATTATTCCACTCTGAGGCTGAGTTTGAACTTACTTTTCTGGCTTAGTTTCCATACCATGGGCATTATTACTATTACATAATTGCTTCAGCGAGAAAGAGGATTGAGGGCTGGAGAGATGGCTCAGAGGTTAAGAGCACTGGCCGTTCTTTCAGAGGCCCTGAGTTCAATTCCCAGCAACCACATGGTGACTCATAACCATCTGTAGTGAGATAGATGCCCCCTTCTGGTGTGGAGGCATACATGCAGATAGAGTATTCTTGTACATAAAATAAATAAATAAATACATATAATAATAATATAATAATAATAATAATAATAATAATAGAGGATTGAATGAAAGGTTCCCAGGAAAGGATTTTAAGATTTCAAGTTTGGCATAGGATATTCAGGAAATTTAGAATTGCAGATGTCTAGTTGACTTGCTGCTTCCTTGATTGAGTTGTTAGGAATTGATTAAGTTTCTAGATGTTATGTACTTCTGTGAAACACCAGTAGTGGGACTCTATTCCATAGAGTCTGCGAATCTTATTTTATTAACATACTTTTTTTCTAGGGCTAGGGTAATGGTTTGGTGGATAAAGTGCTTGCTCTCCAAGCTTGAGAGCCAGAGTGTAGATCCCTTGAACTCACTTAAATCCCAGGTGGGCATCTCTTGAAAGGCAGAGATGGGGTCTGGCTATCGAGACTAAGCTGTATGGCAAACTCTGGGTTCAACTGAGAGACCCTGCTTCAGTGGTAAAGTAGAAGGCAGTAGAGGAAGACTCTGATGTCAGCCTTGGAGCTTCACAGGGTATGCTCGAGCTGGTTTTGTGTGTGCACTTACACATATGAGAACAGACACGTGCGCGTGCGCACATACACAGACACTCACATACACACAAAAAGCCCCACTTATTTCTAATGTGTTTGTAATCTCACATGATATAACAACTAGAAACAGGGCTTTAAGTTTTTGTATTTTGTATTCTGTATTTGAGAGGTACAGGCCAAGAAGCAGTTAGTCGCATGGTGGAAGTTGTCCCAGGGCAGGTGCCTGGTGAGATGGGAAGCCTGTGGCCAGATGTGCATCTGTGCCCAGCATCTTCGGTGGGAGTGTTTTACTGTGCGTGAATGTCATTTACACTAAGCCTGAGTTTTGTGGGTGACTGATTTCACCTGTTGCAGGCCCTATCTCCTGGTGGGCTGTTGTTTTTGGCCAGCACCAGCAGCTTACAGACCATGCACAGTGTAAGGCTTTGCTAGCTGATTTCTCTTCAGAGAGTTGAGATCAGGTTGATTTTGATGGAGTCTGCCACTGTTAACTCCAAGTTGACCTAGTGGAACAAATGAGAGTTTGAAGCTCTCTTTCAGTGTTTTTCAGCTGAAAGTTTTTGGACAAGTAGCTTCAGCCTGCTCCATCATGTACAAAGTGGGGACCCCTATGCCAGTACTGCTGTGTAGACTGAGACCATCTTGAAAGAAATAAGTGATATCTAAAGTGACCCCTGAGGGTTGGGGTTATAGCTCAGTGGTGAGGTGCTTACTGACTTCTGTAAGCTGTCCACTGACCTCTGCACATGTACACAATGGATGAAACAAACAATTAGAAAAGAACACCCTTCAGATGGATGACCAGAGCTCCAGGAAGAAAATCTAAGCAAATAGTGGTCAGCTGCAGCAGCTTATCATACATTCAGTATTGTGCATAGTGAAGTCAAACTGGTGATGAATGGGATTAAATTACGTTTTTAATCTCAGGATAACCACCAGGGAATCGGAAATGTAACCATCTGACATTAGACTTGTTATGTCAGTGATTCCTGTGTCAGGCTGAGGGAACCTTAAAGTTTATACTAATTGAGAATATTGTTCAGATTAGTAGAAGGAGATCATAGAATGATGAGAACAGAGTCAGTCCAAAGAGGGCAAGCAGTAAGGAAAAAAGGTGCAGGGCTTATTAAGTATACATAGCACATAAGACAATAATTTAAATCCAAGTAAGTCCGTTAGGCACTGACTCAATTAAAAGACAAAAATTAGCTAACAAAGTGAAAATAATGAACCACGGTTATTTAATGATTGTAAAAGCACATGAAGGTTAAAAGTAAATGGCAAAATAAAAATAGCTGCCACCCAGACACTTGAAGAGAAAGATGATGTAACTGTTCATGCTAGAAAAAGTGTGCTTGAAGTGGAATCGCAGAGCTTGACTAAAGGGGACAGCGGTGCTCCGTCTGCAGGGCGTCAGCCTCAGGATGGCAGTTGTCACCGACACTCTGACCTCATTCTCAGCCATGAAATAGGGCTTTCTGTTTCACCAGCACTCCACTGCACTTGCTCCTATCAGGACCTCGGAAAGCTGCTCACCCTAAATCTACAGCTATGGGGTAGGTAACTTTTCCAGGGCAAACCTCAGCAGGGTGAGGGTGAGTAAGGTCAGCAGGCTCCCATTGCTCATAGAGACAGTTCTGAAACACATCTGTTTGCTTCCTTAGTAGGGTCCCAGGAACACAGCTCTAGCTGCTTACTGTGGTCTTCTGCCCAGGAATAGACCCAATATGGCCCTTCCTTCCTGTCACCTCACTGTGCTTTCCACGGTCACTCCAGTTACCTGTTCAGAAGTCCACATCTCAGATTGCATTTTTAGGAAAACTCAAAATAGGACAAAATAATACAGTAAGATAGTTTTAACCTTTCTTAGATGTATGCAAAAAGTATCAGGACTGTCAGTAGGAATAATGAAGCCACAGTCATGCTTGGGAGTTTTAACACATTTTTCTTAGTAACTGATGGAGGACATTCATAAAGATACCGATTTGAACAGCGTGATCAGCAAACCTGACCTAGTTTGTAACTATAGACCATGACACAAGGAACTGCAGAGTGTGCATTTCTTTCCAGCAGAAACTGAATGATTACCAAAGTCAACTCTATCCTGGGCTCTGGAGTGAATTTTGCCATAAACAAAGGCTTGAAATCACAGATAAACTCTCTTAACATAGCAGAAATAGCTCTGAAAAATCTGTGCATTTGGAAATTAAGAAGTAAGGTTCTGAGTGACTCAGAGAAGTCATAATAGAAATGAAAAGTAGTATAACTATAATGAGAGTTGCAGGGTGCAGTAGTGTCGAAGAGGGCATAAGAGTATGTCAGAAGAAGATAGGTTGAAAATCTATAGGAAGTGATTTATTTCAGAGGTTAGGAAGAAAGCTTGTTTGAAGTAATAAGGGCGGCGGCGGGGCTGCGTCCCCAACACCCCAGCTGCCTGCCCGGCTAGCTTATGCCCCGAAATAATTACACGGACACTGTATTCTTTTAAACACTGCTTGGCCCATTCTCTTCTAGGCTAATTCTCACATATTAATTTAGCCCATTTCTAATCATTTGTGTATGGCACCCCAAGGTGCGCTTACCAGGAAGATTCTAGCCTATGTCCATCCTGGGTCGGAGCTTCATCCCAGGAGCAGGGCATGGCGTCTCTCTCAGGCGTCTTCTCCCAAGAGAAGAGCTGTCCAGACTCTGACCTCACTTCCTCTTCCTCCCAGCATTTTGTTCTGTTCACTCCTCCCACCTATCCTCTAACCAATAAAATGGGCCAGGGCAGTGCCTTTATTAGCCAATGACCTTCCTCCATCACTTGTTAAATCCAAAAAATTTAGAGGAAGGAAAATTGAAAAATATACACCAAAATTTGAAAGTAAGAATTTGGAAATATCGTGCCATGAGAAGATGTTCAAAAGAAATGGAGGTAACTTGGGCTAGCAAGATGGCTCAGCAGGTAAGGATGCTTGCTGCTAAGCCTAAAGATCTGAGTTCAATCCTTGGTACCCACAGAGTATAGGGAGAGTACTAATTCCCACAGGTTGTCCTCTGACTTCTACTCGGTAACTCTAGTAATCCAACTGTCAGTAGTTAATAAGAATCTTAAAGTGTACAAAGCAAACACAGGATTTAGGGAGAAATTTTATTCATGGAAACTGTAGAAGCCTTAACACAGCTCTCTTGCTATTGATGGAACAAGTACATGGAAAGGCAGTTAAGGTAGAGGATTGACCAAAATCAACTTGACCTAATTCATTTTAAACATGTTCTTTTAATGTGACTGAAGCATTTTATTGCTGTCAGGCAGCTACAGCAGATTAAATTGTGTGTTTTTGTAACAAAGTATTTTTAAGCTAAAACAACACAATAAAAGACAACTTTTCAAGTACTTAGAAATTAAGCAATATACTTCTAAAAAGACCTTTCCAGTACTTGGAAAAGCAATATAGTTCTAAATGACCCTTATTTTAGATTTGTTTATTTTATTTATGTTCACCACATACATCGTGGTACCCACGGAGGTCAGAAGAGAGCATTGGATCCCCTGGGACTGGGATTACAGATGATTGTGAGCTACCATATGGATGATGGGAACTGAATCATGGTCCTCTCTAGGAGCAGTCAGTGCCCTTAATTGCTGAGCTAGCTCTTCAGCCTCCCAGATACCTTTAAATCATGAAGAAATCACAGTAAAAATTAGAATGTACTTTGATAATGAAAATGACCTTCCTGTGGGTCACACTTGTAGGGTTGGATGAATGCTCAGTGGCAGAGTGTGTACTTACACATGCAAAGGCCTGGGTTCAGTCCCCTGTGGATCAGTATTTGTAGGAATAGATGAATGGACAGGGGCAGAGTGTGTGCTTGTCTATGCAGAGGCCCTAAGATCAGGCCTCAGCATAGAACCAAAATAAACTGAAAAACAACACAGCATGCTTCTCACATGGTACCTAAAGAGAATTTTACCTGTATATATCTCCAAATATGTTACAATAGGAAGGCTGAAAATCAGTCATTTAAATAACCATTTTAAGAAATCAGAAAAAGCTGAGACGGTGGCTCAGTAAATTGCTTGCCACACAAGCATGAGTTCAATCCCCAGCACCATGTCCACTGCAGGTGTGACTGCACACATCTGTAATGAACACTGGAGGGTCCTAGTCTAGCTGACCAGATGAGCTATGAAATTGTTGTCACTGGTATCCAATCACTGCAGAATGCGTTAGGATCCCTTCCTTACTCTGATAGTCAGGGAAATTATGAAGTAAGTAGTAGCTACTCATTGTCTTTCAGTCTGTCTCTGATGTTACTGAACTGTGCTTTACTTGTAGAAAGTTTTACAGATTTCTAAAACTGAAATATTTTCGGATATCAAAAAATTTAAACATATGCTATTTTTATGAGAATTTATTATTTATTTTAACAAAGAGAGTTGGGGAAAAAATCAGACAAGGAGTGTGAGTCTTGAACTAACTTTAAATTTGTAAAAGAATTATTTGTATTTTAAGGCTAACCATGTAGATACATTGAGAACGTTAGTTTGCAAGGAAGTGCAAGAATTAGTTTCTTTTTCTGTGTTGCAGGGATATTATTTCAATGCTAATACTGAATTGTACTACCCCTTTCTGCTTTTAGATTGGAATGTTGCATCAGCAGATAGAAGAACATGAAAAAAACAAGCAAGAAATGGCCATGGAGTATAAGCAGGAGTTAAAGAAGCTGCAGGAGGAAGTGAGGCTTTAGTTCTGGGATGTGATGTGATGTGATGTTCTTTCTCTGTAACCCTTGACTGGTGTTGAGAACTGGTTACTACTTTATATGGTAGGAAATACATATCGTACAGAATATCCTGTGGGAAGAATGTGGTAGAAATATATTTTCTGACCTTGAATCTCGACAAAGAATCTTGCCTAATACACTTGATGTTACCTAAACCAGCAATTGAATGAGCACCTAGAGGAAAAAGAGCTATAATATTAAAATCTTGATACCAGAAAACTTAATATTTTAATTTGTAAGGTAATTCAGTAGCTGATTTTTAAATATTGAAAGAGACAAAAGGCTTAGAAATATTTTGGAATTAAGAAAAGCAAGGGCTGCGTAATGACTCATTGGGTAGAGACCTGCAAGCTGTCCTTTGAACCTCCCTTGGTAGGCTATAGAGTACACACTCTAACCCCTCCCCAACACCCCACCTCCCACAAATAAAGAAATAAGTATTTTTAAAAGCTTTTTTTTAAAGGAAGAAGATTGGGAGGCAAGAGCTAGCTCAACAGTTGAGTGTAGTGCCCTTGCAGAGCACCCCAGTTCAGTTCCCAGCACCCACATTAGGAAGCTCACAACCACCCAGCACTCCAGCTTGAGGGATCTGATGCCCTCTTCTGGCTTCCGTGGGCATCTGTACTTGCATGTACATACCCACGTAGAGACATAATTAGAACACACATAATTAGAAATTAAGAATAAAATCTTTAAAGTGAAGAAAATTTTATTTCAGTATTTAATTTACTTTTTAACTTTGGGGGAAATTGCTTTTGTTTTGGTTGAAGTCAAAGTCTGTTTACTGTGCATTAATGCCCTTAAGAGTATGTCTTGAGACCCACTGACCTAAAGGGGAAAAGTTACTGCTTCCTCTTTTATGTGGAGTGGGTCATGGGGGTCTGTGAATGCATTGCAATTGTAGTAAAACCAGACTTTTTGTTTTCTTTTTTCGGCCTGGAAATTTCATTGCTAGCATTTATTTCTCACACATACACATGCAAGCAGGCATGTACTTTGAGGTAAGGAATCTCAGGCTGACCTCAGATTCTTCATGACCTTGATCTTCTGATTTTTTCCTGCCTCCACTTAACTGTGTGATTACCACATTTGCTACCACACACAGTTTATGTGGTCCTGGGCATCCAGCCCAGACCCAGTGCTGACTAGGTCAGCATTCACCAGCAGAGCTATATGCCAGCCCTAGAAGTTTTAGTTGTTCTTTTCCTTTTTTTTTATTTTGCTTTGCAACTCTGGCATGCTTCCAATCTATTTTCAATAGGATAATTTAGTACTGCTTTTGCTTTATAATCCCAATTTGTCTGACCACCACAGTTTACTAGCTCTTAAAATTTAAGTTAATAAATAACTGTTTTTACAGTTAGGCAGACTGAAAAGAAGCTATGAAAAACTGCAGAAAAAGCAACTAAGAGAATTTAGAGGAAATACCAAAAGTCTGCGGGAGGATCGGTCCGAGATTGAGAGGCTGACTGGAAAAATAGAGGTATGTTCACAGCAATAGTCTCAGTCGTGACCGTCAGCCATTCTGTAGGAAAATGCTATTTCCCATGAACCCGTTTCCTGAAGCGAGTTCCTGCCATCTCGGGGGCTGCCTCTGAGCTACTCAGTAGTGGGTGAGTGATCCACAGTACAGCCAACCCATCCTCACTTGCTCCCCTGTGGCTGATGGGGTTCTAGGCCATCAGTAATTCTCAAGAGGGTAGTTCTACCCTACAGGGCCCTTGGAAATGTGTGGAAGTTTTGCTTGTTTTTTGTTATTGTTGTTAAGATGATAGAGCATGAAATTGGCATTTAGGGTACAGGGAGCAGGGGTAGCCAACATGCTTGGGACTGTATCCTGGAGAAGATCCTAGTTCAGTACCTCCCATTGTGAGAATGGTGACCATCAGTTAGTAGCAGCATCCTGTTATCACCGTGTTCCCACACCTAACTGAGTAGGTGTTAGCAAATGTGGGGAATTCTTGGCTTTTTCTTGCAGAGAGTGCTCTGCACGTCAGGTGGTTTAGTTTCAGTTCCCGTTTAGATGGGGCCGGAGTTACAAAGGGTTTGCCTCCCTCTGCTGATTTTGTATTTGCTCTGTAACTCCATGATTACTGACAGGAGGCAGTGAGTTCCCTCTCTGTATGAGCTCTGCAGTGCCTTGTAACCGTCATCAGGGTGCTTTGCACTTCAGAGAGTCTGATTCAGAGTAGGCGTGGGATCTAGGAATCTACACTTTACCCTATTTGAGCAACACCGGTCAGCACCTCTGTGTGACTACTTAAACATTTTCTGTTCTGGGTTATCTGTCACACACAGATGCCAGTATACTTTACTGTCTTGAACTGTAACTCTCATGCTTAATGTTCTTTTATACTTTAATGTTTTTATAGATTTAGAACTTGGACTCAAAATACTCCACACATACTGCTTCCCCTCCAGCCGTCTCCACTGCTACCTTTTCTCCCAGCCCTTCACATCCTTATCATCAACCTACACTACCAACCATGAGCACAGAACCTCAGGAGTTATCCTCTGCCCCAGGTTACTGCACTGACTCTGGGAGGCCGTTTCCAGCTCATTGTTATCCTCTTCAACATTGCTCTCATCTTAACGTTTGAGGGTTTCGTCCACAGACACAGTATATATCACACTCTGCCTTTGGAGTTTCTTAGCATCCTTTCTTCTGTATCTATTCTGTTCTCCTCGTCTTATCCACTTAGTTCCATTGGCATTCCTCAGTTCTCTTTATGAGATGTTTTCAATATATAGCCATTTCCATATTTCTGCCAGTCCATGAGTATGGCAGACCTTTCCATTCTCGGTGTTTTCTTCCATTTCCTTCTTTGGTGTTTAGATTTCATTGAAGAGATTGATTCTTGGGTTCTTAGTTGTGTTATCCCACGGCATATGTATGTGTGTGCATATGTGTATTTACTTAATTCTGCATTTAATTTAATAAATTAAATAATTTATTTTAAAGCTGTTGTGAATGAGATTACCCTTTTGAGTTCTTTGTCAGGGTGTCTGGTATTGGTTATTGAAAAGCTTCTGAGTTTTGTGTGTGGACTTTATATTTTCTGAAGGTGTTCATCAGTTCTGGAAGCTGTCTGGTGGTGGGAATAGAGTTTCATGTATGGGATCATTGTGTCCAAAGAAAGAATTATGTGACTTCTTCCTTTATTTGTATCTCTTTTCTTCCTTTAGCTTTTTGCTCTAAAACTCCAAAGACTGTTGAATAACAATGGAGAAAATGTATGTCTTTACCTCTCATTCTTCATTTTAGTGGCAGTGTTTGGGCTTCTCCTTATTTAGTATGTTGACTATAGGCTTGTGCTATATGTTCTTTATTATGTTGAGATATTATTCTTTACTGTTAGTTTTTTCAAGGCTTTTATAATGAAGGGCTATTGGATTATATCAAAAGTCTTTTCTGCATCAATTAAGAGGGTCATGTGATTTCTGTCCTTGTGTCTGTTAATATGCATTATGTTTGTATATGTTGAATCATTCTTGTATCCTTGTAATGGTGCATACTTGGTCATAGTGAATGATCTATTCTTTCCCTCTAAGGCAGTGTTTATGTTTTCCAATAGGTGTGTTTCTTGCAGAAGATGGATCCTATTTTTTAATTCAATTAACTAGTCTGTGAGGGAGAGAGATACAGAGAGATGGTTATATAGAGTTGAATGTACACATGTCTTTTTGTGCCCATATAAGCACATGTGGAAGCCAGAGGGAGAAATTATGTATCTTCCTCTGCCAATTTCAAGTTTATGTTTTGAGACAGGGTTTCTTAGTAAACCTGAACCTTGCCATTTTGGCTAGGGTGGCTGGCCAAGCAAGCTCCTGGGATCCTATTGTCTCTCCCTCCAAACACTGGAATTACAGGCACACACAACCATGTCAAGTTTTTATGTGGGTCCTGGGGATTTGAACTCAGGGACTGTCACTTTCTCAGTAAGCACTCCTACCCACTGAGTCAGCTCCCTAGCTCTAGTCTGTGTCTTTTGATTAGAGAATTGAAACCATTGCTATTCAGAGATACTAGTGAAAATTACTGTTCATTTCTGTCATCTTGTTTTGTAGTGTCTGGTGTCCTCCTAATCCTCATTTGTCCACTGAAGTTTGATCCTGTTGCATCATGGATGTTGATCTTTCTCATCAGTATGTAGATTACTTCAGTATTACTACAACGAGGTCAAGAATTCCTCTAGTTTGTGTTTATCAAGGAAATTTTTTCTCTTTCCTTCAGTTCTGAAGAATAGTGTGTTAGTAATATTTTGTTGCTGTGCTGAAACACTATGACCAAAACCAACTTGGGGAGACAATTCAGTTTACAGCTTATAGTCTGTCACCAAGGGAAGCCAGGACAGGAGTTCAAACAAAACAGAAACGCAGGCAAGAACTGAAGCAGAGACAATGGAGGAATGCTGTCTTCTGGTTTGCTTCCTCGACTTACTCAAGTGCTTTTCTTACACAGCCCGGACACATCTGCCGAAGGATGGCAGCTCCTACCACAGTCACTAATCAAGAAAGTGCCCCACAGACAATCTGATGGAGGCACTCTTCCCTCTTCCCACATGTCTAGTTTGTGCCAAATTAATAAAAGCCAACTAGCACAGATGGTTCAGTGGTTAAAATAATCTGGTTGGCAATATTGTCTTTCAGAGCTTGAATTACATTGTTCCCTGCCTTGGCTATTAGAATTTTTGTTGAGAAATCTTTTATTCTGATGGCTTTACCTTTGTATATGTCTTTGTGCCTTTTTCTTGCAGCTTTGGTGCTCTCTGTTTTGTATGTTTAGTGTTTAATTATAATATGATGTAGAAAGGTTCTTTTCTGGTCTTGACATTCTAGGTGTTTTTTGTGTCTTGATTGCTCAGCTCCTGTATTTGGGTTTTAACCCATAGCGGTGAGTGTATTTTCTGCTACTTTATCTTGATCTTCTCACTCTTCTATGCTAATGAATTATAGATTGATCTTTATGTATGTATGTGCACATGTGTATGAACATGCATGTGTGTGTGGCGGCTAGAAGTCAGTGTCCGTTACCTTCTACCTTACTTTTAGAGACAGAGTCTCTCATTGAACCTGACACTCACTGATCCGGCTAGCCTGGCTGGCCTGTAAGCCTAGGGATCCCTCTGTTAATACCTCCTTAGCACTGGAATTTCAATTGTGTACTGCCATGCCCAGCATTTTCTAGTGAGTGCTGGCCTATATGCTTGCATGGCAAGCATTGTTTACATACTAAGCCATCTTACCAGCCCCTACATTTGGTCTTGTAATGGTATCCGTGGATCTTGTACATTGTCTTCATACTGTCTTATTATTTTTTTAAAAAAATATTTAATTTAGTTTTATGTGCACTGGTGTTTTGTCCGTATTCGTGTCTGTGTAAGGGTGTCTATACTGGAGTATAGACAGTTGTAAGCTGCCATGTGGGTGCTGGGATTTGAACCCAGGTCCTCTGGAAGAACAGTCAGTCTTTTCAACCACTGAGCCATCTCTTCAGCCCTGACTTTCTTATTATGTTTGTCATTGTCAGGATGTTCTAATTCATCTACTTTGTCTTCAGACTCTAAAACTCTATCTTTGATTTGATTTATTGGAAAGACTTTCCATTAAGTTTTTGTTTGATTCAATAAGATTTTTTATTTATAAAATTTCTGTTTGTTCTTTTTTTTTTCTTCAGTATTTCTTCTCTATTGAATTTCTCCTTCATATCCTGTATTGACTTTCTTATTTCATTTAGATGGTTGTTTATGTCCTCTTTGAATTCCTTCAAAAGTTTATGTCCTGTTTGATGTCATTAAATATTCTTATCTATTTATTCATTTAGTGTGCATGCCATGTACATGTCACCCTCCAGTTGTGTGGCTGGACTCTTTTGTTTTTTAAATACTTTGTAAACCGGTACTGGCACATATGATGGAATGCCATACAGACAGACTGACTGACTGACTGAATGGAATATCAGAAAGCTGAAATAACAATCTAAGGAACAATCTAAAGCTGAGGATTCCTGGAGGACAAAGATGGGACGATTGAGTGTCTTTTTTCTTTGATTTGCCTTATTTTCAGAAATGTCAGGCTCATTTTCATGGTGTACAATTTAAAATTCTGTTCATCAACTATAACTTTTAACTATTTGGCTCTGGGTTGTTAATAAATACCTGTTAAAATGTGGTACATATTTTCCATATTATTCAAGCTTTTGCAATTCTGTGGAATAATAAAATTTTGACTATCAAAAATACTGGTTTAGTAGAATATGAAGTTAGAATTGAGCTATTGAGTTACTGATTTGGAAATCTGTCCAAAGCTCTTCAGTTCTGGGTGTGGATGTCAGGAATTTAGATGGCAAGGGAAATACTGTTATTTCAGATCACTTCTCTGTAAAATTATACGAAATGGTAACAGCCCTTAGGTGGCAGCAGACCTGTGAAGATGCCCATGAGCCCACTGTCAGGTCTGTTTCTTCCTCTTCACCATTAGGGTGTTAAGTTTAGAAAGACAGGCACCCAGAGGCACAGTGTGAGCAGAGTTCATTATTCCTCTCCTGCTCAGCCAGCTAAGCTAATGGAGCTCCTGCTGAGGAGAAGAGCACAGCTGCATCCAGGAGTGGGAGGCTGGGAAGCCAAGTGAGGAGTGTCACAGTCCAGGAAGCACTTAGGTGTTAAGTACTGTAACTGTCTCCTCAGGAATTCCGACAGAAGTCTCTGGACTGGGAGAAGCAGCGTTTGATTTATCAGCAACAGGTGTCTTCTCTGGAAGCACAAAGGAAGGCTTTAGCTGAACAGTCGGAGATCATTCAGGTAAGAGTAAGCTGTCCAGCAGACAGGTTTTGACTGAATTTGACCGACTGCCATGCACCTTCTTTTTTTTTTTTTTAATTTTTTTTTCTTTCGCCACCGCCTCCCATTTCCCTCCCCCTCCCCTATCAAGTCCCCCTCCCTCGTCAGCCCGAAGAGCAATCAGGGTTCCCTGCCCTGTGGGAAGTCCAAGGACCACCCACCTCCATCCAGGTCTAGTAAGGTGAGCATCCAAACTGCCTAGGCTCCCCCAAATCCAGTACGTGCAGTAGGATCAAAAACCCATTGCCATTGTTCTTGAGTTCTCAGTAGTCCTCATTGTCCGCTATGTTCAGCGAGTCCGGTTTTATCCCAGGCTTTTTCAGACCCAGGCCAGCTGGCCTTGGTGAGTTCCCAATAGAACATCCCCATTGTCTCAGTGTGTGGGTGCACCCCTCGCGGTCCTGAGTTCCTTGCTCGTGCTCTCTCTCCTTCTGCTCCTGATTTGGACCTTGAGATTTCAGTCCGGTGCTCCAATGTGGGTCTCTGTCTCTGTTTCCTTTCATCGCCTGATGAAGGTTAATATCCAGGAGGATGCCTATGTGTTTGTCTTTGGGTTCTCCTTCTTGCCATGCACCTTCTGATGGTTGTTGTTCTTTCTGGATTCTCTTTGCTAACCTTTGCGTGGCAAGCCCATCTTCCTCTACTGTGGCTTAGCCTTGTCAGCATCTAGAGCTCAGATCCTCCTCTCCCTGCCTCACCCTTCGTCCACATTGTCTTCACTCTCCTAAATTTGGTTTCTACCTATCCCACCATGCCTCTTCCCTCTCTCTGTCTCTCTTCCCGTTTCTTTCTGCTTCTGTCATTGGTTTTTTTGACTTTGCTTCCGTCTGCTTTGTTTGTTTCCATGACAGCTTGAGCACTTTGGCTAAGGTGCCTCAGCCAGAGATCTCAGTTAGTTTGCCTGTTTGAAAAGCATCTCACTGCACTGGTGTGCACCCGAATGAGAATAATGTCTTGTGGCTACAGAAACTAATGACTTCAGCAAAAACTAAATAGACACTGAATTTTTTCAGGATATGTCTTCTTGGGTCATAGCCAGTTCCTTTGCCTTTTTCCTTTAAAATCAAGAAGACAGAAAGAAATAAACAGAGAGAGGGTGGTGAGTTTGTATAACCACTCTCTGTTACCTGTTGGATACTGGTCAGTAGGTGTGTTATTTGAGGTATGACAATCCATCCACACTGGTAGTTCTCAGTTTCTAGAATGCCTGTAAGTTCAGAGAGCTAGAGGAAGATGTTCTTGTTTTTTTGTTTGTTTTTTCTTTTAAACCTTCATCTTCTTTGGCTCCCTGAGATACCAGTTGTCTGGCACACCACTGTGAGTGGTTTTGTTGTGAGGAACTCTGCTGAGACTTGCAGGACAACCCTACACCCCATAGAACAAAGACTGTATTGTCAAATTCAAGAAGCTACCAGCCAAAGTGGGAAAGTGGAGCCCTCATTGAGGGAGGGCATGGGATGGGGTGAGATTTTAACCTAATTGAGAAAGCCCTATGTTCTTAAAGGCTATATATACACTGCTGTATTCTAATTATAGCCATTAGACTGGGAAAGAACAAATTGAGTTTTTATTTTTTTTAATTCTCATTTTATTCATGTTGTTTATTGATTACATAGCCTTTAAGCCACTGCTATCAAATTACTATTGTGATTAATTCTATGTAATTCAAACTTACTTGTTAGTAAAAATAGAGTTTTTATTTACCATTCACTTGACTAGAGCTAGAATAAGACACTTTTAAAGAGCTGACATCTGTTGTATCCACTAAGGATGTTTGAATAATTCTTATAATAGTTTTAATAATTCTTATCATAGTTTTGTTTAAAATAAAGTTATCTGATAAATGTACTTCTCTTTCTCCTTTGCAAACTAAACTAGAATTAAAGCTTCTTGTGATTCAGTTTGTGTCAATCAATGCTATATGATTATCATTCTTAAACATTTAATTAAACTCTGTGTGCCCATTACCTAGTGTTAATAGTTGTCATCATCTTGTCAATCTTGTGTATGAGTGGGCGTTAGAAATGTATTACAGAAATGTACCTAATTTTCTTTCTTCTTTTTGTTTTTTTTTAAACATGGTATTACTGTGTAGTCCTGGCTGTCTTGGAACTCACTATGTAGACCAGACTGACCTCAAACTCACAGAGATCCACCTGCCTCTGCGTGCCCACCACCACCTGGCTATACCTAATTTTCTCTTCAGTGTGGTATTGAACTCATGGCTTCACTTATGCTAGGCAAGCACTGTACCAGTGAGCTAAACCCCATGCCATCTAAACTGGCTTTCTGTGTGCTGTTCATTAGTGTTAATAACACGTCTCCATTTTTTTGTACAGCTGTTATTTGGAACTTTTTTTTCTTTGTTTGGATATGGCATTAAGAATCAGTATATTTTCTTTTATCTATGTGTATGGGTGTTTGGCCTGCATGTATGCATGTGCACCACTGTGTGCAGTGCCACAGAGTCAGAGCAGGGCCTTGCATTCTTTGGCACTGGAGTTACAGATCCTTGTGTGCTACAGTGTGGGTTTTGGGAACTAAACCCAGGTCCTCCAGAAGAGCAACCTATGCTCCTATCTAATGAGCCACCTGTCCAGCCTGATTGTTTCCGTCTTAGAAAACTAAAACTGGGTACATGGTGGCACACTTTAGACCCAGCAATGGGAGGAAGAGGCAGGTGGATGTATGTGAGTTTGACTAAGCCAGCCTAGTATGCAGAGCGAGTTCCAGGATAGTCAGGGCTACACAGAGAAACCCCACCCCAAAGTTACAATGCAAATGAGACCATCTCATTTCAGAGCAGGTAAATACTTAAAATTTCTGTAGTATGACAGAATGACATTAATAGATAAATCATAACAATATAAGTTAATATTCACTCTGTACAGTTTTCTCCAAGTGTCTAAAAGCCACCCTTGCACAGTTGGCTGTAAGAAGCAGAATCCAGTTGAGCTTGACTCATTACATTTAGTTGATATGTAGGAAAGCAGAAAATCTGGGAGACTGGGTAAATCTTAGGAGAAAAAATTCTTAAGTATTTTTATATCTAAAAATGAGATTGAAAAATAACTTCATGCTCTCGAGTCATGCATTTACTCCAATTCTTCTACTCAGCTATTAAAATTATATACTTCATGCTCATTTTAGAAAAATGAGGACATCCTTTCTATGACTTATTTTTTAAAATGTAATTTTCAAGCTTCAAGGAAGCCATTGTTACAAATAGGGAAATTGCTTAAGAACAGCATGGTTGGAAGGAGCCAGGGCTTTGGTCTTTCCAGGGAATCCTAGTATAAAGGCCTAGTCATTGCAGCACCAGCCCCTGACCTATCTCCCCATCAGTGTCACCTCCAGATGTATCCACGCAGGCCATCATTTCCCAGTGGGAAGCCTAAAGAGCCTGCAAAGCTCTGAGCTCTTTCGCACCTCTGACCCCGCTGTGCCTACCATCCAGCGCAGGTTGACTTGAAGAGCTTTCTGTCTCCTGCTGCAATAGCCCTCTCAGTGCTTCCCTTCCGTCCACTGTCTTCTGTGGAGTTGTAGGAGCTCCCCTCTTCATTCAGGAAAACAATGCTGAATGCTTAGCAAGTAAGGGAAATTTCTGCTTCCTTGAAGTAATTTGTACATGAAAAGATTTCTGATATATTTACCTTTAAATGCTTCTAAAGTCAGCTGTTTAGGAGAAGTGATGATAATTTTAGTTGTTTTTGTGGTTTTCTTACTTGCTTAGTATTGAAAGAGGTATTCTTGATGCTAGTGCCACTGCAGGATATAATGTGAGTTGCACAATTTACCATTATTTTTGTAGTTAGATTTCAAAGGTAAAAAGAAATTAATATGTTTTATTTAACCCAGTATGTCAAATATTATCAGTTCAGAATTTGCATTCTTTTTTAAACCAGGCCATTGGCACTCCCTTGTGTGCTTTACTTTAGAGCATTTCTAAAGTCAGAGTAGCCACAGCGCAGCGGTCAGTCTCCACATATGGCCCTTACTGCTCTAGTGCACAGTACAGCCTGGGTATCATTTCTAGTCAGTGCCAACACTGTCTTTTTACATGGGTGAAATAGTGAATGATTAAAAGAAGACTTGATTTTCAAAACTGAGAAGCTAATTTAAAATAGCAAATCTGGTTACACTGTTGTTTAATACAGCTAAAGCTTCAGAACTGAATTTGCTTCCAGTGTTACATAGTCATCTTAGTGTTACGTAGCAATCTCAGTGTTACATAGTGGTCACAGTGTTACATAGTGATCACAGTGTTACCTAGTGATCTCAGTGTTACATAACAATCACAGTGTTACATAGTGGTCACAGTGTTGAGTTTTCTGTGTTGTCTGTCCCCCAGAGCTCTCATTTGGGCAGAGGTTTCCAGCTGTGTCCTGTGAGCTCCAGGCTAGTGGATAGGTTAGGGTTGGAGTGAACCTAGGCTCAACAAAGAGCCACAGATTTTCTCCTTCCTACCCTCAACCAATCTCTGTATTTACTTCTGCAGAGGGTTCTGTGGAAGATATCCTCTTGGTAAGAAGATTAGATTGTTTTTGAAAGTGTAGAGACAATTGCATACATAGCAGTTAGCAGTCAAGCTGGGCTGACTGTCACACACACCATTCTAGGGATCTGGTCAAAAAACAAAGCAGTTGCCTCTACACTAAAGCCTTGAGCTCTCATTTACACAAACACTGTTTGTCTGTTTTTGCCTGCCCTCCCTCCCTCCTTCCCTCCCTCCCTCCTTCTTTTTTTTTCTCTCTCTCTCCCAGCAGTATCTTTGTGTCACCATAATTTAAAGTACAAGAGTTTGATCCTGTATTATATACAGTAGACTCTTTAAATCTGTAGCAGATGAATTCCACAGAGATATTTCTGTTTGAATTTCTAAAATAAAACTGTGTGTCTTTTTCTTAAAAGATGTTTAAAATAAAGGAAGTTTACCTTTACAAATGATTTATGTCCATTTTGAATGTATAGATGAAAAACCAGTTTGGATACTGAATTAAAACTTGAGAAAACCAGAATGTGGAAAGCCAAAATACTCAGCTGGCGGTCAGAGCTGTAAGGCTAGGCAATGTACACCACAGGCCCACGACACAGTTGCTTGGAGTCCTTTGATTTGAGTAGACTTTGATAGTGATGCCACTGGAAGGAACTAATTTCAGCTGTGTATATTTGGTTATATCTGTCAGCTCAGAAGTCTCCAAAAACCGCTGATTGAACCAGTCCTTCCTATGAGTACTTTTTCTCAGTGAATAGTTATTATTTTATTGATTATTCTTTTATCACTTCTCTTTTCCTATTAAAAATCCCTAATAATAATTTCTAATAATAAAAATTAATATTTTTCTAGGCTCAGCTTGCTAACCGGAAACAGAAATTAGAGTCTGTGGAGCTGTCCAGCCAGTCAGAAATCCAGCACCTGAGCAGTAAGCTCGAGCGGGCCAAGGACACCATTTGTGCCAATGAGCTGGAAATAGAGCGCCTTAATATGAGGGTCAATGACCTGATGGGGACCAATATGACTATCCTGCAGGAGCAGCGGCAGAAGGAGGAGAAACTGAGGGAGTCTGAGAAGTTATTAGAGGTGTGTGTTAGAATGCTTAGGTTAGGGAAACGCGTACAAGTGTTTAAGACTGGTTGACCCGCGAACTATGTTCCAGAATTCTCAGCTTCCTCCTTGAGCTGAGGCTGATGGCTCAGCTGCTGATAGCTGTATTAATACTGTCCTTGTCATAAAACTTACAGTCAGCCTCTCTGGTTGCTTTTCTCATGAAATAGAAATGCTGTAATGTTATCTGACTTTTTTTTTTTTTGAGAGTATTTTGCAGGCTCTGCAGGAAAAAGAGAGAGCTGAAGAAAAGTTGTAATAATATCTGACTTTTTTCTTTTTGCAGGCTCTGCAGGAAGAACAGAAAGGATTGAAGGCAAGTCTTCAATCTCAAGAAAACTTCATCCTTGAGGCAAAAATGCAGAAGGAGAAACTACAAACAAAATTGAAGACAGTTGACACTCCGCACTCCATAGAAAGCATGAGGTCCGTTCAAATCTTAAGTATTATTCTGCCAGTCCATTTGAAGGTTTGGCATTGACTGCCGATTTTAATATTGAACATTTACATTTCTGTGTTTGATCATCTTGTCTGACTTGGTTTTAATTTATGAGTTAGATTCTCATTATCATAACATTTTCATGGATAGTTTTGTCTCCTTTTCATTTGAGTCTCTGTGATTCTGAGGATCATAAACTGAGAACTCCTTATTTTTTCCTCATTGGCTGATGAACCTCCATGCTGTAGGAGACTAGGGCATAGCTGCTTGTCATCAGTAGCAACCTGTCACTGAGCTAGCCCTTTTGAAAACTGATTTTATTGTATTATTATTGTTATTTTTTGAAACAGGATCTTATGTATCCCAGTCTACCTTCAGAATCAATACTTTGAGGATGATGTTGAACTCCTGATCCTCCTGTGTTTATTTCTCAAGTGCTGGGTTTACCAGTGCATGTGACCACATCTAGTCTCAGGGCTTCATGCATGCCATGGGAGTACTATACCAGCTAAGCTATACATCCCAGCACTAGGTTTGTTTTTCTATATCTGTTATTGCTAGGTTTATAGTAAAAAATAATTAAGTGAATTTAAGTCGTACATCTTGCCTGACCATCTTGTAATTTATCAGTTAGCAATCAAGTTTCAACAAAGTGGTTTTGCTATTTTATGTGGCTTTTCCCTTTGAAAAATATGCCAAATCCTAGTAAAGATTAAATTGCTGCTGACCCTGGATTGTTCTCCTGGTATATATTTTTTATCCACAAAGCAGACGGCAAACTGAGCTTAATTATGAGAGCAGTTGCGACAGCAGGCTGGCTCTGCACTGTTCTTGTTCCCTTCCTTTCCTGTCCTCCTCAGGCCGCTGGAGAAGTGTCAGGTGGAAAGGAAGTTCCCTTCTCCAGGCCCAGGAGTCCTAGATAATGTGCTGTCACAGCTGGACTTCAGCCACACCAGCGAGGAGCTCCTGCAGGCAGAGGTGACTCGTCTTGAAGGCAGGTAGATAATTAGCTACATGTTTGAAACTTCAAGTTGTTAGGATGAACTTTGATCTTCGTGTTGACTCAGTAAAATAATACAGTGTGGAAAATAAAGTTGATTTTCCCCTCTAGCATTTATAATGGCCTTGCTTCCTAATTCATTGAAAACATAGAAGAGAATGTCCTATCTTCTGCCAGTCTGCCTGCATCGGGCCTGTGGTCTGCTGTGATGTCTGAGACTGACTTGCTCCTGCCCTGATTTCCTCTCTGGGCTCTTTCTTCAGTATGATTTATATGGACAGAGAGTGTTCTGTGATCTCTTCCATTTTGAAAACAGTTAAACTCCCTTTAAAACTTTTACCTGTATCAAAAAAAAAAAAAATTCCTCTTTCTTTGTTCTTCGAAATCAAATTCTTCAAGATTTGTGTGTTCTGACTGTCCTCACTTCACCCTTTGCCTTTTTAGGCCCCTTGTAGGGGCCTGAATTCAACTTTCCTCTCTACTACTTCACGGAAACTGTTCTTGGAGAGGACATAGTGGGCACGTGTTATTTCTTCTTTTTCGCCTATATGGTATGATTTAGATTTTCTTGTATATGAATTGAATTCTGGCTAATGGCATAGTATACTGTAGTATTTGTTATATATAGCACGGTGTAGCCCAGCATGGCATAGTGTAGGATATCATAGCATAGTGTAGTGTGTCATAACATAGGGTAGCATATCATGGCGTAGTGTAGTGTATCATGACATAGTGTAGTGTATCATGGCGTAGTGTAGTGTATCATTGCATAGTGTAGTGTATCATGGCATAGTGTAGCGTATCATGGCATAGTGTAGCGTATCATGGCATAGTGTAGTGTATCATGGCATAGTGTAGCGTATCATGGCATAGTGTAGCGTATCATGGCAGAGTGTAGCGTATCATGGAATAGTGTAGTGTATCATGGCATAGTGTATCATGGCATAGTGTAGTATATCATGGCGTAGTGTAGTGTATCATGGTGTAGTGTAGTGTATCATGGCGTAGTGTATCATGGCGTAGTGTAGTGTATCATTGCATAGTGTAGTGTATCATGGCATAGTGTTGTGTATCATTGCATAGTGTAGTGTATCATGGTGTAGTGTAGTGTATCATGGCATAGTGTATCATGGCATAGTGTAGTGTATCATGGCATAGTGTTGTGTATCATTGCATAGTGTAGTATATCATGGCATAGTGTAGTGTATCATTGCATAGTGTAGTGTATCATTGTATAGTGTAGTGTATCATGGCATAGTGTTGTGTATCATTGCATAGTGTAGTGTATCATTGCATAGTGTAGTATATCATGGCGTAGTGTAGTGTATCATGGCGTAGTGTAGTGTATCATTGCATAGTGTAGTGTATCATGGCGTAGTGTAGTGTATCATTGCATAGTGTAGTGTATCATGGCATAGTGTAGTGTATCATGGCGTAGTGTAGTGTATCATGGCGTAGTGTAGTGTATCATTGCATAGTGTAGTATATCATGGCGTAGTGTAGTGTATCATGGCATAGTGTAGTGTATCATGGCGTAGTGTCGTGTATCATTGCATAGTGTAGTGTATCATGGCATAGTGTTGTGTATCACTGCATAGTGTAGTGTATCATGGCATAGTGTTGTGTATCATTGCATAGTGTAGTGTATCATGGTGTAGTGTAGTGTATCATGGCGTAGTGTATCATGGCATAATGTAGTATATCATGGCGTAGTGTAGTGTATCATGGCGTAGTGTAGTGTATCATGGCATAGTGTAGTGTATCATGGCATAGTGTAGTGTATCATGGCATAGTGTAGTGTATCATGGCATAGTGTTGTGTATCATTGTATAGTGTAGTGTATCATGGCATAGTGTTGTGTATCATTGCATAGTGTAGTGTATCATGGCATAGTGTAGTGTATCATTGCATAGTGTAGCACAGCATGGCATAGTGTAGCAGGTGATGCTTATTTTTGCCAGAGTTAGAAACTTTTAGTTTGTTATATTTGTAAACATTTTTTACTAGGCAGAGCTTGATAAATTATTTTAAACTCATTTATCATAATTGCTTGTGTGCTAATTTTTGTGTGTGCAAAAGATAGGTGAAATATTTACATAAATATTAGCCATGCTGGGCGATGGTGGTGTATGCCTTTAATCCCAACACTCGGGAGGCAGAGGCAGGTGGATCTCTGTGAGTTTGAGGCCAGCCTGATCTACAGAGAGAGTTCTAGGATAGCCTGATCTACAAGAGCTAGTTCCAGGACAGACTCCAAAGCTACAAAGAAACCCTGTCTCGAAAAACAAAAAAACAAAACAAAACAAAAAAATTAGCCATTAGGCAAACAGAGAACAAGAAGAAATGCCACTTTGCACTTTCTAGGTTGTCTTTATACACTACATCCTTTTGTTTTCACTTTGCTGTTTCTGGAAGGCACTAGTATTGGGCGTGCTTTGTTTGCTCACACCGTCAACTTTACCCCCTTTAGGAGTATGTGAGACATTGATGATCACTATTGAGGTGGATGTGTTTACTTTAGATGGAGTCAAATAATGCTTACTATTATAACTAATTATTATTGTTGTTATTATTATTATTTGATTTTTCGAGACAGGGTTCTCTGTGTAGCTCTGGCTGTCCTGAAACTCTGTAGACCAGGCTGGCCTAGAACTCAGAGATCTACCTGTCTCTGCCTCTGGAGTGCTGGGATTAAAGGCGTGTGCCACCACCGCCCTGTGAGTTAGTATTCTTTAAAGGTTGTTCTTGAGGTTTTTGTATAGTCTGGCATATGTGTCACTAAGGTGATGAAGTTTGCACTTGTGACAGTTCTTGGTGGCTTTCCCTCTCTCATACAGTTAGAGAAAAATCATATGGCTATAGTAAAACTATTAGTAAAGTTGGTATCTTTATAATTCTGTAACTAGTTCAGTTTAAATCAAGAGGAAAGTGGAGGTAAACATTGAAGTCAAAGCTACCTCAAAGGTTTGGGATGGACTTGCTGCATCTGGTTATGGGCAATTGGAAGGGACTTTTTTAACATGGGGTATGAAGTTTAAGGTATTAGGAGGATGTATCTTGGGCATCAGGAGAGTACATTTAAATAATCTATTTTATGGATTTCAAGAATTTTATTTATATGTGGTTGTATTTCTGCAATACAGTTTGGAATCTGTGAGTGCAACATGTAAACAGCTGAGCCAAGAATTAATGGAAAAATATGAAGAACTGAAGAAAATGGAAGGGCATAACAATGAGTACAGGACCGAGATTAAAAAGGTGAAGCCCTGTGTGCCTGGGTCACAAAGGTGGATGTATTTATGGGCCAAGGGGTGAGTGGGGAGACTGTTAGTGAGGGAGCTGTTTAGGAAGACTGATGTTCAGGAGTGCGCTTGGTGGAAGTCTGGCTGGAAAGAAGGGGTTCACTGGGGAAGAAAAGGATAAGAGGATGATGGGGAGATGATCATATACATTGTGTATTTGAATGAAATTGTGAAAGAATCAGCAAATTAAAAATATAATTGAAATGTGTTCACTTCAAACTCTAAAACTTTCTTTTAAACATCATAGTGGTTTCCAAATAATTGTATTGTTTCTTATAAAAACATATTATGTGACCTGTCATTTAATATTTTCTCATTGGCTAAATATGTATTTCCTCTTTGCTGTGATGCAGTTAGTGTCCTCCTTGACTGTTGAGTTATTCTGAGCCTTTCTATTAGAGGGTCCTGGCCCAGGTATCCTGGTACATTATAGTCCTAGCACTTGAGAAGTGAAGACACAGGAAATCAAGGCCAGCTAGGCTATACAAGGCTGTCTCAAAATACCAACAATAAATTAGTAAAGGGCTCTGGCTCTCCTCTTTGTTTGCATTTATTTACTTGTTTATATAGAGGCTTGGTCTTGTTATGTAGCTGAGGTTGGCCTCAAACTCACTATCCTCTGGCCTTTGAATTCCGACTTGTGTGACACCAAGCGTGATTTAATTACATTTTCATTACTTCTTGAGTTATTCCTAGTTTGAGTGTATCAGTGTGTGCATGCATGTACACACATGTGTTCATATGTGTGCATAGAGCCCAGAAGTAGAAGTTGGGTGTCTGTCTATTGCTGTCTCTTCCTGGACATTCACCCCCACCCCCTTTGAGACGGGATTTCTCAGGGGCTCTTGCTAAACTCAGTACTCATTGGTTGACTAGCCTAGCTGGTCTTTGATTCCAGGATGACCTGTGTCCTCTCTCCCTATGCTGGGGTTACAGACACATACAAACTGCTAAGGCATGTTTTACTGGGTGCCAGGAATGTAGACATGGCCCTCATGCTTCTCCTGTAGGGGCATCGTAGCTTGAGCCATCTCCCCAAAAGCTCTTTTTTTTTTAATATTTATTTATTTATTATGTATACAATATTCTGTCTGTGTGTATGTCTGCAGGCCAGAAGAGGACACCAGACCTCATTACAGATGGTTGTGAGCCACCATGTGGTTGCTGGGAATTGAACTCAGGACCTTTGGAAGAGCAGGCAGTGCTCTTAACCACTGAGCCATCTCTCCAGCCCTCCCCAAAAGCTCTTGCTCCTTCCTATTATCTTTTATGTCTGTTCTGTGAACCAGAAAACCAGATAAGCAAACAAAAAACAAAATTTTAATTTGTAGCTATGAGAAGAATGAAAGTCTTAGGGCCCCCTACATAAATTGGGCATAGACCTTGACATTGACCCTCAATGTTTGAGTAACTCATGCTCTTCTGATACTTAATACATGATTTTAAGTTTAACTTAAGACTTTCAAAATAATTATACAAGTTGGTAAATTGCTCATTTCTCTATTTAATCTAGGAATAATTTTATGTCTTGAGTTAAGATAAGCATTGCATTATTAATGTTTCATATATTTTCTTAGTTAAATTATATCTATTTTAAACATTGATTTGTCAGTTTCATAATACATACTATGTACTGCTATCATATTCACCACCATTACCTCATTACCTTCTTCTGTCCCCCTTCTACTGCTGAGCTCACCTTTCCCATCTAGCCTCTCTGCTGCTTTCACTTTTTTTTTTTTTTAGGATTACTGAGTTTAGTTAGGGTTGCTTACATAACATTGTTATTTACTGGAGCAGTTTGCCAGTGACTACACCACCAAAGAAGGTGACACCCTTCCCTGGTAACCATTAACCAAGTGTCTTTCTCTCTAAGTATTCTTTTCTTCTAGGGCCTTCTGCATGCTAGGCAAGTGCTATACCATTGAGCTGCATCCCCAAACCTTGTTTTTTGAGATGGGATCTTCCAGTGAAGTTCAATCTGGCCTTGAAATCACTGACTAGAGCAGGCTGGTCTCAGTCTTAGGGTCTTCCTGCTTCTGACTGCGCTTCCTGAGTGCTAGATTTAACCCTGTATATTACCATATTCCCAAATTCTAAATACTGTCTCTGCACTTTTGATGTTTTTGTGCTTCTCTGTAGTTGAAAGAACAGATTCTGCAGGCTGATCAGACCTATAGCTCTGCGCTGGAAGGAATGAAGATGGAAATCTCCCAGCTGACTCGCGAGTTACACCAGCGAGATATCACTATTGCTTCTGCCAAGTGTTCTTCCTCAGACATGGAAAAGCAGCTGAAGGCAGAGATGCAGAAAGCAGAAGAAAAGGCAGTAGAGCATAAGGTAAAGTCCACCCAGAGCTTTCTAATTGATATTTGCTTGTTTGTTTTCAAAGAATGAATTTGTTCAAGGTATAACTTCCATATTTACCACAGTGAGCTTTTAGTAGATACCTATTTTGGATGGTTAGCAAACAGTGTAATGAGGGTTGGTGGGAAGGTTCGATGGATACAGACAAGGATAGAGACATTCCAGTATTGTGTGGGCAAGGTGCTGGGCATAGCCAGGGAGTTCCCAGTCTAGAGTAGCTCTCTGCTGCTGCAAGTGGAGAATGAGTAAGGGTGGAAGAAAGCCTGCGTGTGGAGTGGGTGTGAAACAGCACGTGGCCTGAGCAGTGTGCGAAGGCTGTAGAGGGAAGTATTGGCTTCTAAGGATTCTTGGCTGGTTTGATTGGCTAGGCTTTGTGTTTGATTAGACTGGGATAGCAGAGTAGACAGTGAAAGAAGCTGTTGTTGAGGAAGTTAAGTAATACTCTGTAATGACACAGAAAATAGCTGAAGGGTTGGGGAGGATGATACAAGTCTTAGGGAAGCTAGTGGAGGCGGATGTTGGTGTGGCTCATTTGGACTTTTATATGGGAAAAACTGGTTAGTTGGCTCCATGGAAAGACTGGAATCCAAGGTTTGGCCCTTTAGTTTTGGAAGTCCTTGCATGAAGTTGGCATTTGAAATTCCCCTTCCTCAGACATAGTGGCTTTAATGAAAAAGCAATAGAGTATGCACAAGAGTGACTTGAATCAGACTTAAGATATTTCTCAGTTTGGGTTTAAAAAGATAGTGGGAAACCGGGTGGTGGTGGTGGTTAATCCCAGCACTGGGTGGCAGAGCAGGTGGATTTCTGTGACTTCAAGGCCAGCCTGGTCTACCAGAGCTAGTTCCAGGACAGCCAAGGGCCAAGGCTGTTCAGGGAAACCCTGTCTTGAAAAATAAAAACAAACAAACAAACAAAAAGAGATAGTGAGCTGGAGCTTTTACAGGCAGTTTCTGCTGAGGAAGAAGGTGTGAAAGAAGGCAGGAGTCTTTTCATAGAGATAGTCAAGTAGAAAATCTCAGCAGGGCGGGGACTGAGCAGTTTATGAAAGTGCAGCTCCAAGTGGTATTGGAAAGTGGAAAGATCAGGGGGTGGAGGCAGGTTGTGACTACAGGTTTACCTGTGACCTGAAACTTTTCCAGCTCCCATCCATCACTGGGAGTGACATTTAATTGCATGCATGCTAGTTTAAGTGCCAACACCTTTGACACATTATTTTAAAAAGGATGTGTGGGGCCTGGGAGATGGCTCAGTGGGTAAGAGCACTTGCTCTGTAAGAATGAGGACCTGAGTTCAGACTCCCAGAACCTACATAAAAAATCAGGCATGGCTGCATGTTGTGTTCTGTTACCCCAGCATTGTGGGGGCAGGGTGGGGTGGGGTGGGCAGAGACAGGTGGATTCTGAGAACTCACTGGCTCTAGTTTCTGCATACATGCATGGCAGGCACACTTGTGCCCTTAGGTACATGCAACACACACAGTATATGTGCACACTTTTTAATAAGTTTATCTATATGAATGGAGGATGTAGACGAGAATAACTAGACTAGTGAAAATTAGCCATGGAAAAGCTTTGTAAGATAATTTGATTTATATGAGTTTTTTTCACCCTGATTTTCCTTCTTCAGGAGATTCTGAGTCAGCTAGAATCACTCAAGTTAGAAAATCGCCGTCTTTCTGAAACAGTGATGAAGCTGGAACTGGGCTTGCACGAGGTACCCACATAGACACTTAAGCTGTTGTACTTTTGAAGCCTTTAAAAGTAATTTGTACATATTGATATTAGTTGGAGTTAGAATTAAACTAGTGAAACAGTCCCTTGGTAGGTGTAGTCACAGATGAAATGCAAGTATCCTACTGCCAGAGGAGATTTTGCTGCAGCAATAGAATAGTTTCCTGTTCTGTGTGAGATATGATGCTTGTATAGTCTGTGTTCTCAGCAAGTAGAGTGTCTGCAAAGGGTTCAGCATGGTGCTGCAGTAAGCATGAAATGGATCCTGGTGCTGGTCTTAGTCCTGTGTTCTTGTACTTTTTATTATAAAGTATCTTTTTATTATAAAGTATGCCATCTTTGAAATAATTCAGTTTTTATTGCATTTCAATGAGGTATATTTTATTTTGTCAAATATTCTAGAATATTTAGTAAGTGCTAGATTGAACACTGGATGAATGATCAAATTCTTGATTCTAAAGACATTCCACTAATTTAATAGAGACTGTGAGAAATACATAATAGCTACTGTGAAATCAGAGAGGACAAGATTGACTTATAGGCAGTGTGATGTTCTTTAAACATTTTATTAAAATATTCTTATGATTTATAGAATGATATATCTATTCTGACCCATCTTTTTTTGGTATAGGTCAAATGTCTGAAGACTGAATTCTTTTTCTCTGAACTTCTAGGGAGTTCTGCCTCCAAAAAAAGATGTATAGTCACACAAGGCTCTCTCTTTGCTCCCAAGTAGTCCCAATTTCACAATCATGGAGGCTGAGATGGAAGAAAATGCAAAAGGCTAGAAGAACACTTCCTTCCAACTAGAAAGATAGGGGACTAGTTCTGTAATCTCTCAGATGGGAAGATTCTCTGAGCATCATGAAACCATAAAGGATTTTACAACATAAAAATGTAAAATTTCTGGATGACAAAAGACTCCATTAAAAAGACTAATAATAGAAGCCAGGTATGGCAGCTCATGTTTATAAACCCAGCTACTCAGGAGGCTGAGGCAGGAGGACTAAGAGTTCAAGCCCAAACTGGGCAAGACCCTGTCTCAGAATAAAAGTAACAGCAAAAGAACTGGGAGTGTATCTTAGATGGAGAGCAATTGCCTAGCATGAGGGTCTGGTTTTGATATCCCTTGCACTGCAAAAGGAGTAAATAAATAAATAAATAAATAAATAAAACAAATGACAGACAAGGAGAAGTAATCTATAAGCAGACGCAGGCTATCAAATAAGAATGTCTTAAAGAGTAATAGGAAAGGGATGCAGAAGGAAAATGGCAAAGAACTGAGTAGATATTTCATAGAAATTTAAATTCAAGTGAGAGAGGGAAGCTGTTCAACTTCCCTAATAACCAACAATTTTAAAAATAAAATTTCTCTTGCTAATGGACTTGATAATGCTTTAAAAAGCTAATGTATGGCTTCTGTTGGCAAATATTAAAAGGACAGGTTCTGCTGTGCACATTGATATGACTTTCAGGAAAGTTTGGCCGTGGACATCAAGCTGTAAATACATACAGCCCCAAGTACACCGGGGTATTTACAACTGTGATATTAACAGTCATGTTCTTCAGTGTCCCCAGCAGTTTGCATTCCCAAAGAACCCATCTTGTAGGAGTAAATGTCTAGAAGTGGGCACAGCAGTATTGTGAAATAAACTGGTTACTAAAATGGTTGGTCTGTGACTGTACTGTGAAATATGCTGTCTTTAATACAGCAGATGGAAATATTCATTCAGTTTTGCCCCCACTCCACATCCCTTTGATATAATGAAAGTTGTTTTTTTAAAGCACAAACTTGTATGGATGGGGAAAAATAGGAGAGGAGACAGTAGGCAAACATTTACAAAATGTTTGCTTTTATTTTTGTGTGTGTGGTAGATGCTTGTCTTCATGTGTGGGGGCACATGTGTTTATGTGTGTATGAATGGAATCTAGAGATTGGCACTTGGCATCTTCCTCTATCATCCTCCACATTACGCACTGAGGCAGGGTCTCTCACTTGAACCCTGAGCTTGCTGACTTGGCTGATCTAGTTAGCCACCTTGCTCCAGAGATCCTGTTTCCTCTTTCTCAGCTTTACAGGGAGTCTACCAGTCCACTTGGCCAGCATTTACATGAGTGTTATAAATCTGAGCGCTGGTCCTCTTGCATGGCAAGTACTTTGCCAACTGAACCGTCTTCTCAGTCCTATAACTAAACATTTTATAAAGGAAGTGGAAGATGGATGGAGGGCAGGGGTTGGGAAGCCAGTTAGCTAACGAGCTGTCTGGCTTAGTGACTGGATGGATGGACGATAAATGGGTGGATTAGTGGGTGAGTGGGTAAGTAACTGAGTGGGAGTATGGACAACAAATGACCTTGTATGCACTGATAAAGCCAACACTGAGTGAATAATAATTCATGAACTAATCTGATTTATACTACAGAATCCTTTAAGAATATATGATTTGGGAGTGTTAAAGATTTAGGGGCCCCTACGTGATAGAGTGATTCCCTGTTCACATTCAGAACTGAGAGCTTTCAGGAATGTCACAATTGGACTCTGCCCAGAGTTCTGTGCAGCTGAGCTTCTCCTGAATCTTAGTGGGAACACTGACCCTTCTTTACCCCACTAAGTACAGGCCTGCTACCCAGTTGTCGTGCTGCCTTCACCATTCATGTTCCCGGAGTAGTTGTTAATAAACCACTAAGTCTTGGAGATTCCAGGAAGATGCACGGAAAGACAAGTATTATATTTTTTTCATGTATGTGTAGTGGTTCTCAACCTTCCTAATGCGTTGACTCTTTAATACAATTCCTCACGTTGTGGTGACCTCCAACCATAATTTTTTTTGTTGCTACTTTATAAATGTAATTTTGCTACAGTTATGAATTGTAATATAAATATTTTTGGAGATAGAGGTTTGCCAAAGGGGATTGTAGCCCACTGGTTGAAAAATGCTAGTTTAATGATTTTTAGACATCAAAGTGGTAAAAAAATCCTGTCAGTCTTAGCTTTCTGTGGTTTCAGAGTTACATACAGTGTGGATATCTTGTACAAATTATCAAAACATAATTATTAGGAAGTACTTTTTGCATGCTACCACCCGGGAAGGTGAGATTACTTTTCTAAATTAATCTAATTATGGTAATGAAAGCAGCAGCTCTGATGAATATTGATCACGTTAAAGATGGGTGGTAGTTGACAGTGTAGTCCCGTGTCCTGCAAACACAAGGATGGGTGGTAGTTGACAGTGTAATGCCGTGAGATGTGTCAGACATGGGCAGCTACTGAAAGATCTTGTAATTCCTAGTTTACAGGTTTATGTACATGTTTATGACTTGACAGGTAAATTATGTTTATCAGAGCACTATTTACCAGCTAGCTTTCACAATTTTTTCTTTACAGACAATGAAATGCTAAACTGTAAAGATGACCATTATGTTTTAGAATGTTAATTGAAATCTATCATTAGAAAACAAAAGTAGACCTGTATTATCAAGAAATAAGATGTGTGGTCCTAGAACTAAGACCAGATCACAGTAGTAATTCCTGCCATATACTTGAGTCCTGCTTTTATGTCGCCTAACTTTATGTAAAACTAGGTACCATAAGTGCTTAAGAGGAGAGGGTATTTATTTAAAAGCTACCCCATTGGCTAGAATTTTTTAGAGCCTTGTGTTTAAATTACTTTCTTTGAATTAGTTCTTTTTATTTTCTTTCACAGGTATTCTGTGTGTGAGCGGGGGTAGGGTGGGAAGGGAGCCCCTCATTCTTCTTTAGGAGCCATGGCTGTTATATTCTTGATTTCCCCTGTCTCTTATTCTTAAGCTTTCCTCTGTCCTCTTTCTGTCCCTTGTGTGTCCATGTATAGGAGAAAGCCATCCTGCCCCCAATCTTCTCCTCCCTTTCCTCTAGGAAGACTGATGCTTTCTCTGTGTTCATCTTAACATGGCTAAAGACAAATTTTCACTTTCTTTAAGTAAAGCCATGGATTAGTAAAACTAAAAAAGAAACTATTTCAGCCAGCACTGTTGTAGATTGATAGTATGTACCCTTAAACACGCGGGTGATTCTAGTATTCTTTTTCCATTAGGCAAAAGAGATTTCACTAGCAGACCTTCAGGAGAATTATATTGAGGCATTAAATAAATTAGTGTCTGAAAATCAACAACTCCAGAAAGATCTGATGAACACCAAGTCTCAGCTGCAGCATGCTACTCTCGTGTGTAAAAATAAAGATGGCAGTATTTTTAAACCAGCACATAGCAGAGCAGCCGAGTTCAAGAACACAGAGTCTAAGTAAAGTTTCTTAAAAGTCTCTTTGAAATGTGTGTGCTGCAATGTGATTTCCTCTGCTTTGAGAAGTAGTCATCACAGGCTCTGGGTTTAATTCTAACTACAGTGTGCACACGCGGCTCAGGTGGTTCGGCCCTTACTTCGTTACAGCTTTTGTTCTGTGCACCCTGGATGTAGTGTAAACACCATCTTGTTCCCCAGAGCCTTTCCATGCTGTCTTCCACCATCTCTATCCCACCTGTTCCATAAGAAGTAAAACGAGGCTTTTTATAAAAAGCAGCCATTGTATTTTTGGTTAATTAATTAATTAATTTTAGGTTATTACCATAAGAAAGATTCATTCAATGAGAAGCCAAGTGGCTTCAATTCATCATATATAGCTTGTGTGTTTTCCAATCAGAAGTCTTTGGTGGCACCCCACCCCCACTCTCACCCACCGTGGCATTATGTGTCTTCTCTGGGCGTAGGGCTGCCCTGCCTGCTCACTCAGCTTGTTTGGCCTCTGTGCGGTGGAAGCATGAGAGTAGAGCTTGAATGAGTGGGGAACGCTTGTCCCCAAGTGGGCTGCTCCTTTGTACGTGACAGTGTTTCGCTGCCTAGCCTCTTATTTAACATTCAAATGAGCATATTTCTTTCAGCAGTTATCAGAAAGAAAAGTTGCTACAATTTTTCATTTATTTTGTTTTCTAATCTGCTATCCAGGCCAACCCATGGCCAGCACAGACATGATGGAATAAAGACTGAGCAGTATAAAACAGGTCACCACCCGCCTCGAGAACAAATGTTGGGTAGCAAAGACCCTATGGCCAGGGGCCCCAGTCCTCGGAGTTCTCACATCAGCCCTGACAGCTCCACCGTGTCTCTGCCTTCCAACTTTCTGTGCCATGCTCACTCTTTGCCTTCAATGCTAGATATAAATGATGCCAACTTTTCTGATGTCCTGTCTGACTGTATGAATGACCAAGAAGAGTTTGTGTCTTCGGTATGGAAACATTCTGATCTTAACATTTATTTTATTTTTCATTTTAAGCTGGAGAGGGTGTTTTGTTTTTGTTTTTGTTTTATTTCTTACCGGGTCCTAGTCAGTGCCCTTTATTATTTTCACACATTGCCACCATGCAGTTTTACTTGTGAAAGCACATTCAGCCAACATGACTTGAAACTCACATTCTGAAATATGAGTGTAAGTATCCACTGTTGTTAGCCTGCACCTTCCTGCCTGCCTTTTACAGAGAGGGCTGACTGTGCTGCAACGATTGCATCAAGAACGGAGTCCCAAAGCATGGATAGAGAGAAAGGAAAAGAGGGGCTGGTGTTAGGTGGCAGAGGACGGTGCATCTGAGGTGTGCAGAGTGTGACTTAGGTACCTGTAGTGGCCGGTGGTAGAGGCCATCTTTGATCCTGTGCTGGTCTCTCATCCCCACCACTGGGCTCTATTGTTCTTTGTCCTCAGTAGGGAAGTACTTGTGTTGGACCAGTCATTGTCTGTTGTCAGCTGTGGTCGTATCCTTGTAAAAGTTCAGTAACCTTGATTTTTGTAAAATGTGTCAGCAGTTTCATGGAAAGGTTCCCCTTTAGTTGTCAAATATATGTCTGTTTTACTTACATGTAGTTAAAAACAAAACAAACAAAAAACTCATCACCCAGAAAAGTGACTTTCTTCCTAAGTTTGGCAGCACACCTTCTCTGACCTGTGATGATGTGAATTTTATTGATGTTGCTTTTTCTGATTAGTGTGAGCATCCATGTATTTTCCTTCAGAAGTACTCGATATTTGGTGCTAGCACTCTGTGGGGCCAGCATGGTTGTCCTGATTGCCTGCCCGTTAGACTTTACTGTGGTCCTGCTGTGCCCGTGTGTGGACATACACAAAACAGGAGAGCTGGTTTACAAGTTCCTAATGGAGGTAGCACAGGGCAGCCTCGTCCTGCATTTCTGTCTCAGTGTTCGTGTGGTGATGCTACACCGTGCAGTGTAAGAGTTTTCATTCCAGCCCCAGTTAGTGTGCTGTCCGCCCTGGGAAAGTCATTTCTCACTCTAGAAACCTACTTCTGCTTGTCAGATGGAGACAAGGGACTCTTCTATGGTGTATGTATGTCTGTACTTTGTGTTTATTTACCCTGGAGGCAGCTGTCTGTGCTAACTCAGCATTCAGGGTAATGTTCAAATATAACTGTAAATGAGGGGTAGATTTCCTGTATTACCTTCAAAAACCCGAGATCTGAAACATCGCCAGATCCTCAAATTGCAGATCAAAGACCATGGAGTGGAATTTTGAGAAAGGGAGAAAAGTATTGATTTTTAACCAGCATCCAATTTGCTTTCTGTAGATTCTCAGTGCTGTAAAGTGAGAGTGGTGTTCAGCGTCTGAAGTAGCAGGCATTGGCTGTGTTCTTGTCTCAGTGGCAGGCAGACACTCAAGTCTGAGCTGAGATCCTCTCCAACTAGTGACGAGCTTTTCTATACCAATTTTACACTTCACGCGGACACTGCTTGGGTCAGAAAGAAAGAGACCTGTGGCGCAATGTTTTCAGAACTTTACCTTCCTTTTTCTTGACAGTAAGATAAAACTATCTCTTCAGAGGAAAGTTTCCCCTTTGCATTGCTAGGCAGAAAATATCACAAATAGTGTCAGAGCGTCCATCTCTGCTTCCTAACACATGTCACGGTTTGTCCCTCTCCCAGTGCTCGCTGCCCATCTCTCCTCTGGGATCGATAGCTACCAGGTTCCTGGAGGAGGAGGAGCTACGGTCGCACCATATTCTAGAGCGCCTGGATGCACACATTGAAGAGCTGAGAAGAGAAAGTGAAAGGACGGTGAGGCAGTTCACGGCCCTTGTGTAGCCCTGGACAGCCGCAGACAGATGGCTTGGTTATAAAGTTATAATACAGAGGATGCCGGCGAGAGCAGCGGTGAAAAATCTGCACTAATTATTTTCACTGACTTGTTTGAAGGACTTCTCCCAACAGTAACTTGTGAGAATAAACCAATTTGCAGACTTTTCTCACATGAATATTTATTACCACAAAGCAATACTTTTTCTTTCTGACTGAAATGTGAATAGCTGTGTACTAATTACAATAAAGATTTTCTAATGCAGTTTGAAAACAAAGAAACTACAGCGCTTCCCTTAAGGAAGTATGTAGTGGAAGCCTGGCTCTAGAGTTGCTCAGCTGGCTTCGTACCCTTTCTCACCATGTTACACGCAAGGTCTGGCTAGAAGTGTGTGAAGGGCATGGGGAAATCCTTTGCCCCACCCCGAAGTCCAAGAGTGTGGGGCTCCTGGGACAGCTAGTGTGAATGCTCAGCATTTGCATGCTGACGAGAGAGCCAGATGGGAGACAGGGTTTGAAGCCACACTGTTGACAACCAAGGAGGTGTGGGAGAGAGGAGAAGAGCGGGGTTCTGGGCAGCGGAGGATCACAGGAGCCGGACCAGTACAGGAAGTGGAGTGTGCAGTTGAGATAAGGAGAAGGCGCATGCTGTCCTTGCCAGCTCAGGGACCCAGAACCTTCCATTCCCCCTGCTAGTGGGTCCTACCCATCAGCGCACAAACATCCTAGTGTTTCTTCTTCCTTTAAAGAGAAACAGGAAAACTGGTCATCTCCTCCATACGATTTGCTCCTTTTCAGCAAACATCTCCATAAACAGCTGTTGGCAGTGATGGTTCTGCTTGGTCTCCTCTCTCCTGAGCCCTCTTTGCTCTAACGTTGCTCTCCTGCCACGGGGGACCCTATCAACCTAAGCTCTGCACATCATTCTCATCTTCCTTTGCCCCTGCAGGCTCCCTCTGTCTGCCCGGTCTCTCCACATCATTTGCCATCACTGGAGGGCTCTAGATGGCTTTCCTCACTTAGCACAGTCTTCTCTAGAACATTCCATTCTGTTCCCAAGCTCTTACGACCATGTAAAGCCAGTGTACTCTACAGTCAAGGAATGAGAGCTGCCTCCGGATGGTGAGATGTCTTGGTGGTCCCTGGACTTTGGTTTTTCAGATTTGTTACTACCCAAATTTGTTCAAAGTAAGTAAATTTGTTTCTTAGCAGCTTTTAAAAAATTCACTGCTCAGGGCAAATGAGGCATGGGAAGTTTACTTTGTTGTTGTTGAGTCAGGGTCTCTTGTTGCCCAGCCTATCCTGGAGCATCCTAGGTAGCCAAGGGCTGCCTTCTGCCTGCACCTATCGTAGGTGCTGGATCACAGCACCGGCGTGTCTGGGGACGACGTCTTCCTTCGCTGTTTACAGACACTGCTGTGTCACATAACTTGGGTCATTCCTCTTGCCCTAGATTCCTGATGAATTTGTGTCTAGATTCTAGGAAGCAGTGGCAGTAATTTCCCCCACTTTATAAGGAAATTAAAATGGTCTGTGGAGGGTCCTGGAGCTCTCCCTCTAGCAGATCCAAGAGGAAGTGTGGACTCCAGGCAATGAATGACCTTCCTCCTAATTCCAGCACAGCCCGTTTCAGTTAGGTGATCCTGAGCCACTGACCTAAACCTCTCTATGCTTCAGTTTTATCATCTGTAAGAGAGAACAGTAAAAAGAGTGCCTACCTTGGGGTTTTTGTGAAAATGAACTCAGTATGTTTGTAAAGCACGTAGCAGCTCACTTGGCACAGCATACTCTGGAAGTATCTTAAGTGGGAAATAACAAGCGCCTTCTGCTCTGTGATGTCTCCCTGACTTCAGGTCCTACCTCCCCTCTCCCAGGGACAAGGAAGATGTAGGAGCTGTGCATTGTGTTTTCTGTTTGCAGAACACCCTTGAGTCCAGAACTTAAAAGTTACAGGTGAGAATAATGCTGCAAAACAATCTGTATGTTACCGAGGACATGGGTGACAAACAGTTGTCGTGAAGAGCAGTGACGCACAGGATGGAGACAAGAGAAGGGAGTTGTCAGCAAAGGCAGAGGAGGAAACACTTTTACTCCAAAGGCTTCTGCTGCCTCTGAGGTTGAAGCAGACATCTGCCTTAGGAGAAGCTGAGCTTGGCCAGGTCTGGTGAACACCTGTTTAGGCGACAGGTGTTGGGGGAGACTGTAATAGTCTCCTAACTGATAAAGAATCTGCTTTGCTTCCTTACAGTTGCAGGACGAAGGCTTAGGGTGAAGTGTGATCAGAACTGGTTCTGAGAGGTTCCCAGGCATGAGGGCTTGAAGCTGGACCGGAGAAAAATCTGTGGGTGGGTGTTCAGACTTTAGAGCAGCCCACTGTAAACGCTATTCTAAGAGAAATTTAGATAGTTCCAGCACACTGCTCACACTTTCCTCCGTGGGAACCTAGAATCTGGGCATTTTATGCTGCCCCCTTTGGCAGTTAATCAAAAGTGGGTTTACAGTCCTGGAAAAAGTAAGCATCTAGCTCATGTGATGGCTGGACCGTGGAAGGCCCAGAAACTCCTAGGTACCAGATGAAAAAAAGAGGTGTGTGCACATGTGTTTGTATGACAGTGAATTTTCGTTAAGATTCTTACAGATATTTGTGAGCTGAAAAGAGATTTAAGAGCCACAGCTTTCAGGACTTAAGTGCCCTGGAGATAATCTCTTGTTTCCTGGTGAGAGATGTAAAGTTGGAGTCAAATCCTCCTTACTGTGTTAAGTTTTAAAGTATAGTAGAAAATGAAAACTATTCAATAATAAAAAAATGCCCACATTTTTTCTTTTTAAATTGTTTTTATTGAGCTATATATTTTTTCTTGCTCCTCTTCCTTCTCCCCCTCCCCTTCTAGCCTCTCCCATGATCAGCACGCTCCCAATTTACTCAGGAGATCTTGTCTTTTTCTCTTTCCTGTTTAGATCCATGTATGTCTTTCTTAGGATCCTCTTTGTTGTCTAGGTTCTCTGGGATTGTGAATTGTAGGCTGGTTTTTCTTTGCTTTATGTCTAAAAGCCACTTATGAGTGAATACAGATTATATTTGTCTTTCTGTGTCTGGGTTTCCTCTCTCAATATGATGTTTTCTGGATCTATCCGTTTATCTGCAAATAAATGACATTTCAAGATATCATTATTATTATTTTTTTTGCTTTGTAGTACTCCATTATGTAAATGTACCACATTGTCTTTATTCATTCTTTAATTGAGGGGCATTTAGGTTGTGGCTATTACAAATAATGCTGCTATGAACATAGTTGAGCACACATCCTTGTGGTATGGTTGGGCATCCTTTGGGTATATACCCAAAAGTGACACCCAAATTATTAAAGATGAGCACAGGAACTAGGCATAGTGGTGTGTGCACATAATCTCTGTACTCAGCCAAAAGGGTCATGACTGGAAGGCTCAGCACAACCATACACATACAAAACTTAAATCAGTGAAGGATCTTTTTCTAAAGATATGCAGATATGTGATAAAACACATAAAAGATACTCAGTATCACTGGTTACCAGGAAACGAGATCAAAACCCACACTGAGATACCACTGTACAGCCACTGTAAAAGAAGGGCCCTGATGAGTGCTGGTGATGTGGGGAAAGTGGGTTCTCTTGTTGCTGATGGGAGTGAAGGATGGTATAGACTCTGGGAGCAGATGATGGTTCTTCAGGGAGTTAGTGACGAGTCACCTGTCCCTCGGCAGCAGCAGTCCCAGGCATGCTCAAGGGAATGGAGCATGTCAAGCAAGAAGCTGGCCATACGTGGCCACAGTGGCGATTTTCACAAGAGCTCCACAGTGGAAGCAAGCCAGACATCTACAGCTGAAGTGTGTGTGTGCAGTGTGCAGCTAGCCAGGCTCTGGACTGGTACTGGGGATGAGGAAAGGAAGTGTGGTAAACTTCTTCATTGAACTTTCTGGGATCGCCAGCCCACAAATAATGACACGGAACTTATTATTAATTATGAAACCTTGGTCTTTAGCTTAGGCTGTTTCCAACAAGCTCTTAAAACTCAAATTAACTTGCTTCTAGTAATCCATGTCCTACCACATGGCTTCTACCTCTCTTCCGTTCTGTATGTCTGACTTGCTCTGCCTCTAGCTGGCATCTCTGCCTGTCTTGCTCCCAGAGTCCTCTCTCTCCCCAGAAGTCCTGCCTATTTGTTCTTGCCTAGCTACTGGTCATTCAGTTCTTTATTAAACCAGTCAGAAGGCACCTTAGGCAGAGGCACATTTTTACAGTGTAAATAAATACTCCTCAACAAGGAAGTACCTGGAAAACAGAGTGCTGAGGGAGGGAGCCAGCTACAGAATATCACAAAAAGTATGGTTCTTTTATATGAAGTGCCCAGATCAGACAAACCTGTACAGATAGGAGGTAGACCACTGGTTGCTGAGTGCTTGGTGGACACTGGGGGAAGGAGAACTAACTGAAGACTTGTTAAAGAGTCAAAATAAAACTGAAGGATTATGAGATTAGTAACAATAAAATAGTCCCTTAATTTTGGTTTTTATTCTGTTCCATATCAGGTGACTCTTCTGACATGAAACTGAGATTCTGGATTTTACTTTAACAAACATGCTTGGGTTTAGAGAAGGAAAGAGCCACACTCCAACTACCAGTTTTAATTTTTAGTTGGTCTGACTACAACAAAACTTTTGCATTATATGTTTGTACAGAAGAGCAGAAACAAACATTCGGAAAGACTTATGAAATTTTATCCTGTTGGAAATGTAATATTCCAAATAGGCCAATTTACTCTTTTTCTTGGAACATTTTTTTCTGGATGATTTGTCCTTTTTCTTCAGATGTCTCATTTGTCCAGTGGTCTTCAGATTCCTTAGCTGGATTCCTATTCTCCTGAAAAGACAAAAGAAAACCCTGCCCCTAACGCTAAATTTGGAGAAGTTCCCTTTTGGCAAGTTATATCTGATCAAATGAGAAGCATTTATTAGTCTTATAAGTTAGTTTAGATTGAATGGTCACATTGGTTGATGAATTATCACCTCTTCTAATCAAGAGGTCTCTCGTGTTTAAATCAAACCTTTATTAATTTTGATGGTATTCATAACTTTTCTTCTCCTGTGGAAAGAAAAGCAAAACACCTTTCCCAATGTAACACATATCCTGGCTTCCATTCTGAAGTCTTCACATCTTTAAAGTATACAGGCTGATTTAATTCCGTATTTTTTTTTTTCTGTTATCCAGTGTCTTCCGGCAGCAATGTTCCTTTCTCATTAACACTTAGAAAATTCAGGGTAGAAAAAGACAATGCAGTGTAAAGTGCTTGCCTAGCACATGCCTCTAGCACACACACACACATGCATGCACACACACATGAACACATACATGTGTACACACAAAGAATGTGCCATACCAGGACAGGAAACATTACAAGACAGCTAAGGTGCATGTCAACCCCTCTTACTGGCCAGGATTCCCTCCCCCACCTTCCTTATTGCTTCCCAAATGGATTAAGGGTTGGTAGCCTTGGTGTTGAGGAGTCCTCCTGCATTGTGGTAGAGCCTTGGAACTTCTCTGAATCATGACTAAGTGCATGAAATAAAATGCATAGCATTAAAGGGAACTATTGCTGTTATGTTGACACTGAGCTATCAATTCAAGAAAAGCAAATTTGTGATACAGTCTTCTGTGTGCTTCTTATTAACTCATTAAGTAACAAGGCCTAGTGGTAGGGCTCTTACCCACTGGGCCTTGAAGCAGCCATGCGTACAGAGAATGTTCTGGGATGTTTGTAGCAATTCTAATGAGCTGTGGGAACATCTGTGATTTCTGTTGGAAATCACAGGTACAGCGGCACCACTGTGGGTTATGGCCTCTAGTTACAAAAGAAGAAACCACATTTCAGTTAGAGGGCCAAGTTCATGGGGCTCTAGACTGTGTTCTGGCTCTAGGCTCCTGGGGGTGCAGTTTGTGGCCTCCAGATTAAGATTTCAGAGACTTACCCATATCTCATTCAATCTGGTTCCCTGGAGACATTTCACTTGTTTAGCGGGTAGGGGGTAGTATTTGTACTTAATGTAAACCCTTTTTTAAATGCACTTTATGTATATGAGTGTTTTTGCCTGAATGTTTGTGTGTGCACCATTTATGTAACCGATGCCCTGAAACTGGAGTTACAGATGATTGTAAGCCACCAAGTGGGTGGTAGGTGCTAGGAATGTGGGTTGTAGGTGCTAGTAGTTGACCTGGGTCCTCTAGAAGATCAACCAGTACTCTTGACCTCTGAGCCATGTCCTAGGTTTTCCATTGCTGTGAAGAGACACCATGACCACTGCAACTCTTATAAAAGAAAATATTTAATTGAGGTGGTGGCTTACAGTTTCAGAAGTTTAGTTCATTATCATCATGGTGGGGAGTATGGCAGCATGCAGGCAGACTTGGTGTTGGTGAATTCTACATCTTGATCCAAAGGCAACAGGAAGTGAACTGTCTCACTGAATGTGGCTTGAGCATACATGAGACCTCAAAGCCCTCCTCCAAGTGACACACTTCCTCCAACAAGACCACACTTATTCCAAAGGCCACATCTCCTAATTGTGTCACTCCCTTTGGGGTCCATTTTCTTTTAAACCACCACAGCCTTAACTCTTAAGAACAAGTTCTCAAATGGGCTGAGATAACAAAGCAACTTAACAAAGCGATGGTACTTTTTTAAAGCCCGAAGCAGCACATTTGAGTTTCTGAGAGAACTATTGCCTTGCATCTGGTAGGTCAGAGCGTGCTGCCTGGGTCGCAGGGGATTCCAAGGCATCACAAGGCCTAAGGGTATCAACAGCCAGGTCAAACCCCAGGGAGACTCGTCTCCAGGGTCTTTATGGAAGAAATTTAGTCAAACCACTCAAGTACCTGTGGGCTGTGCGCCCAGTGAGGGACATCTTGTGCGGACTGAGGTCTTGGACATCTCTTCTGATAGAAAGGCAGAGAGTTCTACTGTCTACTGTGGACAAGAAACACATAATATGATTAGAAAGCCCGGTGCTTGCTCTGTGGCCCCAGGAGAACTGTGCAATGCCCAAATGCATTCCCCAGAGCACTGAGGCGGGGGAAGACAAGGGAATGGTCGGCATGGTGAGACAAGGCAAAGCCTGGGTGGGTGTAGGCAGTGGTCCCAAATCTGCCTTTACAAACAAGTTTCTGAATCTTTATGCAACCTCTACAAACAAGGCTGAGAGTATTACTTAACTTGCAGCCAATAATTCATGCTGTCTGCTGCTGGTGTCCTCAGCTACTCCAAGCCAGGGTGTCTGTTCCTCACAAGAAACACGTTCTTCAAATTAGTCTTTGTCACTCTTGTTTAAGGTTAGCTTACAAGGTAATGGGTTTCCTTATGGCATCTTCTTTCTTTTAATCATCAGATCTAAAAATGTTTGATTGGATTAACCATCTATGCATAATGTTATTAAAAGTTTAGAAATAAATTTGGTAAAGAGGAGGAATCTCATTGCTTTTTTGTGCACAGTCTATACTGTAAGATTTCTGAATGAATATTGCAAAGAAAATTAGCACTTTTTGAAGGCGTAAGTCACAAACAATGCCACACCAGTTTGGAAGTATGATTAATAGGGTGGTATTTATTTAAAGGGGAAAAAAACTTACAGATCACCGTCCCAGACAACAGCCCTATGCGCAACCAGGAAGGGAGTCTAGTCGTCAGCGGAGCAGGAAGTGAAGAGAGAGGAGAGGGTGGTGGCCGCTTTTTTAAAGGGAGAGAGACCACGCCCCAATGGGCTGGTATCTCAGCGGCTATAGGCTGGAGGAGCGGAAGGACCTCCTGCAACAACTTTTTTGTCTCCTCAATGTGGGCTACAAAGAATTAAAGATGC